ACTTACAAGAACATTAAGGAAATTACCATTGCCTTTTTTTTTTTTTTGAGAAGTCTGGAAATTCCACAAATTACAATTTACAGAAACTCTGGATTGCCCAGTTTGTCTGGGTATAAATTACATTTCACAATGGCACCATCTGCTGGGAGATGAGCAAGACAGTGAAGCACACTGGGCTTCCCTCACTGCCCCCTTTCACAATTAAACATTGCATGACTGATATCCAACACCTCTTCCAAATGGCAACATAAATTAAACCTGGAAAAGTAACTAAAGGAACCAGAAGGTTGATAATGACAGAATATCACTGAGGTTTTCACCATGGAACTTCTACCTTCACTACAACAGGAGCTAATTATTACTATTTGGTTTTATGCTTCCTCACTGCTACAGTGCAACACTGGAAAGAGCACTGGAAATCTGTCTTGGCTTGTATTTCACAGCACACTTAGAAATTCTTTCAGAAAAATAAGAGCAATTCCTTCTTTCAGAGACATGAGATCAATTGGTGATTACAATGTGACCATGGTCTGTGGGAACACCTGGAACTTTCTCTGTGCCAGTAGTGTGGGACTGATTCAGCTCCTCAAGGACATTTTTAGCTGCTGTCCTCTACTGGATGAGCAAGTTCCTCAGTTCAGAAACACACATCACACCCTGTCACTGTCACACAGTGCCCTTTACTGGCAATGGACCAGGATTTGCTCAACTCCAGCTTTTCCAGATGTAGCTGGAAAACAGCCTCAAGCTCTGCAGCAATATCCATCAGAGCATCAGCAGTGACAGAGGAGAGGTCAGTAACTTCAGGCTGCAGAGGGAATTAATCCTGGAAATAATTTTCTTTCTCTTACCATTATTTTAATATTGCTTGATGATTCCACAAGCATTATTCCACATCAGTTTCATGAGTAAAATTCAGTTGGTAGTGACTGAATGAGCTGATCCAAGCTGACAGAAAATCTTTCAGCAGCCTGTGCAAACCAAGAGGCAGAATTGATTTGCTCCTGATCTGCTGCAGGTGCCCACACACAGTCAGCCATTGCTGCTCCTCACATAACTGATGGATGACTGCACAGAGGGGCAGATACTCCTCAGATACACCTCAGAGTACACCAAGAGAGGCTTGAAAAAGGCTGAAAAATAGATATAGTCAGTCCTGGAATATGTGTTGTTTTTTAAACATTTTTTCATTAAATATGTTAAGTATTGTGGGGGAGGGCGGGGGGGGGGGAGGAAGTTTAACTTTTATCAGAGGTTAGGAACCAGAAAAAAGTTAAAATTACACCTGTGAGTAAGCTGAGTGATTAAGCTAACAGAGCACTCTACCTGCACTCTTACAGCAATTCCTGAAAACATTTGTCTGGAATACTTTTCATGCAGTGATGTTTGAATTTATCCCATGAGAAATGCATTAGTAACCCCAGTTTTTGGTCTTTCATAATTTTTTTTTCTTTCTTTCTTTTTCCATTGTTGGGAGATGATTTGGAGGACAGATATCCCATTCAAAAATATTTAATCTCTGGGGGATTTGGGAGCTGCTAGCTTTATTAAGTTGGGTACCCAAAAGTTCCTTTCACCTGCTGACATGTCCTTTGCAATCTGCAGTTAATTGAAAAGCATTCACTATGTCAAAATTCTCTTTCACAACCAGAATAAATTTAAAACTACCTTAAATATGCATAGAAAAGAGATCCTTTCCTCTTCTCTTTTTTGTCCTCCAGAAAAAACAATTCTCTCACAATCAAACTTGAAATAAACAGCAAACTTGCCCCCACAGCCTTCTTGAGTAGGAGTATGAAAATCCAGTATTGAGTAACCTGCCTATAAAAGTAAAACCTTTTTGCAGACAAAACAGAAGCCTTGATTTAATCCATCACCAGACATAACTGTCAGTCCACGTGGTTTCTGGCAAACCTTCTGCAGACATCCACTGCAGCAGATGCTCCTCCAGACTGCAGGACCTCTTGGGATGAGAAACTGGGACTGGCAATAACTATTTATAATAATTCTTAGAACTCTGCTGAAACACACACATTTCCTTGGAAGCCTGTGACAGAACAGACAAAGTTCTTACTACAGAATACTATCCCAAGTTAAAGAACTGACCTTGGGAATGAGAGCTCAGTTTGGTTTATTCCCTTCCACCTGCTCTCTTGAGCCAGAATATTGTCAACAGCACCAAGTGATACATATTTCCCTTTCTGATGCTTTAACTTACTTGTTTTGTGACACATATTTCCCTTTCTGATGTTTTAACTTACTTGTTTTGGCTGGATGACTTCTGTTCTGCAATGTTCTGCTCATTATTTGTCATGTTTATTCAGTTCTCTTTACATGTACAACCACATTAATTCCAGGCAGGAAATTTGAAAATCTAATAAAAAGGGAATTCCAAGTTCACACAGTACCTTACTGCTGCTATAAAACTCTGTACACATGCTGAAAAAACCAACATCCTCTTAGTCCAAAGGCAATAGCCAGCTCTGCCTGAAAAACAATCCAGATGGAAGCAAACTTCTCATTTCCAAACAGAAACCAGGGCTTTGGACCAGCACTTGTCTCCCCTGGACACTCAGGCTGAGCATCCTGAGGGAGCCTGCACGCCATGAAAGCTGATTCTGGTGACATCTAAACTTTTATTTTTTAGAAGGTAGGGCTAAATTCACAGTTCCTTTACCCACAGCTTCTTAAAAAAAGCATTGGGTTGCAGGTGAGCTCCAGCAGCCAGGGCTCCTGAGGGCTGTTTGTGAAGGTTTCTGACAAGAGCAGGCTCCCACAACAGCAAAATGCACAAACATCCCCATGCTCCCTCCGACAGCTGCACTTTCACACGTGCTTCCTGACAGCTGGGAAAAGATGTTCCGTTCTTGGGGTTTGCTGACAGTGTTTCCACATCAGAAACATTTCTGAGAGGAGGGTGGAGACTGTCTTAAAAGAGATTTTAAAAGAAAACAAATCCAAACAAGTAAACCTCCACCAAAATTTAAAAAACAAGGAGGAAGGAAGTGCACACAACGTTCTGTGAGGAAATTTTGCAATGCTGCAACAGCCAAGGATGGGGCAGGGATCCTCTATGACCCAGGGAAGGGCTGCAGGGCTTGTTTGGTTGCCTTCAGAAAGTGAAAAGAAATAAATAAGAAATAAGACAAGGATTGCTATTAAGTCATTTTCTGTGTAAGCAGTTGTACAACAGGGCCTGGAGTCCTGCAGAAGGCATTGCCCATGCATAGCTGACATTTACTTCACCCAGAGTAAAAAACATCTGCTTGCCAAGCCTGTCATTATGTAGCTTTGTATTACCGATTACTTCATCAAATTAGTCATCAGGTTTGTTTATGCAGTAGTGTTGAACTCAAATTCTTTATGAGATTTGTACCTTCTAGTACAAGATTTCACTTCCTTATAGCTTAATATTTGAAGCTCAACTGAAATATTTTCTTAACAAGCTGGCTAGCTATAAATACTTATTAATATCTTAAAACTTCTACAGATTTTAGATTTTTTTAGACTGTTTTTAAAAAATTATATTGCTGCTAAAACACACCCAGTGCCACGAACATCCTTAGTCTCAGCTATATTATCACTTGCCCTATCTCTAGCAAATATGTGTCTCTTTGATATGGATCAGTGATCTCATTAATTCCTTTCCCAGAACAGTGCTGGAAAAACTACCCAAAAGGAGAAAGGTGGGGGTTGGTCTTTCCTCCCAAGCAGCAAGTGATAGGACAGGAGGAATCACCCTCAAGTTGCACTGGAGGAGGTTTAGATTGGATATTAGGAAAAAATTCTTCATGGAAAAGGTTAGACATTGGCACAGGCTGCCCTGGGAAGTGGTGGAGTCACCTGGAGGGATTTAAAGACATGGAGATGTCTTTAAATGGGGACAGGGTTTAGTGCTGCCCTGGCAGTGCTGGGGGAATGGCTGAACTTGATGCTCTTAGAGGCCCTTTCCACCCTCAGTGAGTCCCTGGATCTGAACTGCAGGGCAGGGGGGCTCTACCACACAGCTCAGGGGAGAAACTGCTGCTCACATCAGCCAGGGCTCAGGACAGCTGGACACAACATCTGCTGCATCCCAAACTGCTGCACATCTGCCTGTGCCAAACTGCTGCACAACATCTGTCTGTCCCAAACTGCTGCTCACATCAGCCATGGCTCAGGACAGCTGGACACAACATCTGCCTGTGTCCCAAACCGCTGCACAACATCTGCCTGTCCCAAACTGCTGCTCAACATCTGCTGCATCCCAAACTGCTGCACAACATCTGCCTGTGTCCCAAACTGCTGCACAACATCTGCCTGTGTCCCAAACTGCTGCTCACATCAGCCAGGGCTCAGGACAGCAGGACACAACATCTGCCTGCATCCCAAACTGCTGCACAACATCTGCCTGCATCCCAAACTGCTGCACAACATCTGCCTGTCCCAAACTGCTGCACAACATCTGCCTGCATCCCAAACTGCTGCTCACATCAGCCATGGCTCAGGACAGCAGGACACAACATCTGCCTGCGTCCCAAACTGCTGCACAACATCTGCCTGCATCCCAAACTGCTGCTCACATCAGCCAGGGCTCAGGACAGCTGGACACAACATCTGCCTGTGTCCCAAACTGCTGCACATCTGCCTGTCCCAAACTGCTGCACAACATCTGCCTGTGCCAAACTGCTGCACATCTGCCTGCATCCCAAACTGCTGCACAACATCTGCCTGTCCCAAACTGCTGCTCACATCAGCCAGGGCTCAGGACAGCAGGACACAACATCCTCCTGTGTCCCAAACTGCTGCTCCCCACCCCACTGCTCCTCTCTCTGCCCACTCCTCTGCCTGCCATAGGCTAAATGTATGTGAAATAGGACAAAATTCTCCACAGAAACATGAGTAAAGATCAGCAGTGATCAGCACAGTTTCCGTATTTAGAACTTCCTCAAGCCCTAGGGCCACTCCTCCATCTCCTTCAGAAGATCTCTGTCATGTAACTGCACCAGCTCTCTTGCCCAGTATCCAGAAAATGTTTTTTCTGACAATTCTGCTGTTTTCCTACCGTAAGCTAAGGACATGTTTCTTTCATATTACAGATCTTTCTCAAGCAGAACCATTGTTTCTCGTCTGAAAGCTTTTCTTCTTCTTCTCTTAGCTCAAATGTCTCAACAGATACAGAAAATTACTGCAAATGGCAAAGGTAGGTTCTCTTGTTGATTTTGAGGTATGTGCTGAGATTGACTGTTAGCCAAAAAAATGGGGGAGGAATTTAAAAATATCAAAAAATTTCATGCCAAATTAAATCTTTTGCCTCTCTGTGCAGTGAATCAGTTTAAAAGTTTCTGTACAAAGTTAACCATCTCTTTGCTGACCTGTATGTAAAGTCAAAATTGCTTTAACTTGTTAAAACATTTTTTCCCTCATGGAAATGTTGTAATTTATTTTAGTCATGACTAGTTCAGTACCATTTTCTATGGAAAGACGGGTTTTGATTGCAAATTCATTTGTATAAGATCATGAAAAGAAACAAATTTGAGAGACCATCAAGGTCCTTACTGCCACTATTCATCTACCTACTTCCTCAAGGTTAGTTCAATCTACTTCCACAAGGTTAGTTCTGTCTGTTAATAAACAGCAACAAATCAAATACTGCTTTTGCTTTCAGGTTCACATGCTACCTCTCAACTAATTTATAAGGTGACTTTCTCCTACAATTAATGCTCGACAATATTTGATTTAATCTTTTATAATTCTATTATTTTAATTGCTGCTGTAGTTCAAAAGTATTGATTCATCTGAGCACTTCTGTGGGCTTTGCGTGGCTGTGCCTCTTTTGCATGAACACAGGCACTGTTCATGTGTGAAGCTGCATTCTGATTTTGAAAAGTTACTGAGTTGCCTACTATCAGAGGTGGGAAAGTATAATAGGCCATTTCAACACAAATAAGCATAGCTTGGTTGTCAACATATTTTGGGACAAATCTGGGGCTTTCTTGTGTCATAGGTGCAGTCAACTCACTCAGAAGTTTTTTCTTTCCAGAGATGGTGTCCAATCCCAAGCTGGTACTGGTTCAGGGGACTTTGAACGTGGTGATGAAGCAGAATGTGACCCTCTCCTGCCTCTCTGAGCCTGGATCTCCACCTGTCAGATACATACTGTTCAAGCACAACCAGCAGGTATCTGCTTTAAACAGGTCAGACTTGAGCCCTGCACTGTTCACCCTGACCATCAGCTCTGCCAGGGATGTGGGGGAATACAAGTGCAAAGCTGAGTATAACAACTCCAGTGGTGGAAAATACAGCAACAGCCTCAACTTCACCCTCTTAGGTACGTCTTGCTGTACCCCCTCCCAGCCCTGGCTATTGCAGGGGCACACAGCCATTTCTTTTCTTGACTGAGGAGCTGAACTTTGCTGCTGTTCTTACCTCAGGACTGGCAGGGCTCTCCCACCTGGCTCACGACCCCTCCATCCTCCATGCCCAGCTCTTTTGCAGTGCTGTCACTCCAAGTCTTGCCTGGAGCCTGTCCTGTACTCTGTGATTCAGACTTTTCAGTTTTCTTTCTACAGAGCCAATCTCCAAGCCAGTGCTGAGCTCACCCACCTCTCAGGCAAAGAAAGGCCAGAACGTGAGCCTGTCCTGTTTCTCGGAGAACGGATCCCTTCCCATCACGTATCTATTCTTCAAAGGAACACAAAACATTTCTCCCCAAAAGACAATGCAGAAGAGGAAAGCAGCTGTGATTTTCCTATTTATCAATTCCCTTAGTGACTTTGGAACCTATAAATGCAGAGCTAATAACAGTTTTCCCAATATTACAAAATACAGCAACGCTTTCAACTTTACATTAGCAGGTATGAATGAGAAGAGGTTACTACTGCTGACAAACTGGGATCACACAAAATTCACAATGTTGTAACTATTCAACTGTTTAGCCAGATATTTTGATCCTGCAATGTGATGTTCAAAATATAATTTTTAAAGTAAAAAAAAAATTGAGGTTTTAAAATTAATACAAAACCATAGAACTCCATGCATCGTAGATAGAAGTTTGAAGGGACAATAGGGGATGTCTGTAAAAGACTCACTTTTACAGGAAACCCCTGGTCCACCTTGGAGAGAGTCTGGTTTCATTTTTCTCTCTGCTCCCATAAAAGAGCTTAACAGGCACCAGCAGGCTGCCTTCCTTCTGCTGGGGCACAGAGCCCCTGGGACTCTCATGAACAGTTACAGTAACCCCAGTTAATCTAAAAGCTGAAAGAAATTTTAAGTCTTGATTTCAATTTACAGAAAATACTTGAAATATGAAACAACACTTCATTGCATAAACACCTTTTTTTTCTTCTTTTTGGCAGAAGAGAGAAGCCATTCTCAGCCCCTGATAATTTCTCTTGGGCTGATCCTGCTACTACTTATAATAGGATTGGCTCTGGCAATTCCATTTTTCCTAATTCCTTTGTATAAAGCAAGTAAGTTATTTGATTGTGTGTTTCTTTTTCCAAAGGTCATTTATGTTGTCAATGTATTTCAGCGTGTAAAGATCACATTTTCAGTAGAGTAGCTCCTGGTATTTTATCATGTTGTTGAATCTCCTCTGAAGCAGCACCAGCAGCTTAACAAGACTTTGACAAGGCCAAATCTCTGAGCTGGGTTTTAGATGAAAGATCTGGGGTGGGGGAGGCAAAGCAACAGCTAATGTAATACACAAAAACACTGAAGGGAATTTGACCTCACTGGAAAGGGAAATTATTAAAATGCCTTTGGTTAAAGAGTAATTTTGATTGCGAAAATAATATTACCTGAGATCTCCAAATATTAAAAAATACATTGAAACGGTTTATTTCTAAGAAATATATATAAATACACACACACAACACAGGTTTTTCTTTTACAATTTGCAGAAAAATTTAAGTCCACCAGGTCCCAAATTGGCCTTACTTCAAGAGTGAATGCAGAGGAGTGTGAAAATGAAGTCATATACTCAGAGATTGGTAAGTTCCTGTCACCCCTGCAGTCAGGCAGGTTTCTTCAGGTACTGGAAGGGGACATCTCCTGACCCTCCTGGCAGAGGCATTATCTGAAATCCCTCAGAATCCATATCTGGCATCATCTGACAGCCATGCAGCCAAAACTGCAGCTGGTTAAATGAACTGAGGTTTTAATAAATAAGGGTGTAATGGCCATTTACTAACAGACAATAGTGAGCTATATGAAGCTGTAGCAAAATCAAACTTGCACAGCTTCTGCATTCTGTTCAAGTGTTCAGTACTTTATTTATTCAATCCTTCTTAAGTTTGGCAAGATTCAAAATAAAATCAAACTGAAATTATGAAGTGATAACAAAGCAACTGACTTATGCTAAGACATTTTAGAACTTGAATTGTAGAAAACACACAATAATGAAGACATTACCTGACAGCCACAATGCTCTGAACTTGCACATTTCTACAGAATGTGAATGCCTCTTTCCAAGGGGAATAAGAATCCCCCCAAACAAACCAATAGCAAAGGCATTGTTTCCAATTTCTAAATATCCAAATGGAGTAACCTCCTCCAAACAAACCTGCCTTCCTGATCATGCAGTAGGTAGAGCTCTCACTGCCCTGCTGGGTCAGCTCAGTGCTGTGCTGCTGCTTGTGCCAGGTCTCAGCCTGCAAGGACAGTGCAAAGAGCTCTGATAAGGCCATGGATACCCCATGATTTATAATCAGTGTGGAATCTCACTGCTTTGTTTCAAAACTACAGAAAAAAAAATGTCTGATTCAAGTTGTTTGTAACTGAGTTAATTGCTGTTCATCATCTTTAAACCAGAGCCTGTTAGACCAGAAGAAGAATACATCAACTTCTCCGTTATTAGAAGAGAAGAGGAAAAAGGTGAAAACCTCAAGCTATAATATTGGAATATCTGATGCACACAAATATGTTTTGAGGGGATTTTGCTGGATGGAGGCAGGGCTTAAATACTTGCAATTGCTTATGAAATTGCTTAGTTACTATGGAAAAACTAAAATAGCTTTAAAATTGTTTTGAGGAGGGGTGGGGAAGAAGAAGGAAAAACGCCAACAAACCATCCTATGGCAAATTCAACAGCCTCACTAGGAAACCACACAGATGTCATTAGTAACCACATTGCTGATGTAATGGTAATTCTTCTTCTGTATATCTGTACCAAGAAAGCAGCTATGAATTATGCTATTCTGGCTTTCAGCAGGGAAGAGGGCATGTGCTACAGTCTATTCAAAGGTCCTCATCAGAGACTGAGTACCAGGTATGATTATAATTTTTTTCTGATTAACTTAATCACATACTTTTAAATGTTTCAGCCCTCAAATGTGCTAAGTTCCAGCAAGCTACATACAAAGAGATGATATTTAGATACCAATTTCCTGGCCTAATCAGTTTGTAGAGAGACAGTGTAGCTCACTTTTGAGGCAAAATCTCTGAGCCATAATAGCTATGGACTTATGAGAAAAAGTAAACAGAGAAAACTTAGAATTACATGCAAAGCTTTCACACAGATTTAAGTTCCTGACCATAAAGTAGAAACTGGATTGTTTGCAGACATAAGATAACCAAAAGGCTTTTGTCTAATGTAACACAAAAAGAAAAACCATCCCTCAGGCATGAAAGTATCTCTATTTGGCCTCTATGTACCTGCAAGGATGGCAATTTCTCAGTTCAACTGTACTTCAGCTCTCAGAGAGGGACAGGTTGCTAAAACTAATTTTGGGATAGCGAATTTAAAAATAAATTCTGTATCCTGCTACCAGCTGTTTCTAAGATGTTGCTGGGTTGCTTTAATACCATTCCATAGCCAGCTTATTTAGAATTCCATAAGTTCAGTAAGTCACATTATGCTAACATTGATTATGTCTAGCCTAAATACTCTATACTGCAATTATTACTGCTGTTAAAAATAACTCATTTATAGTTAAGTGAGCACCATGTTAGCAGAAGAAGATTTTAAGGCAAATTCTTGTGTTTCATGACACTGATGACTATCAGAGGCCATGGGCCTTGCTGCACTTTATACAGGGACTGAACAAGCTGTACAGGCACTGGAAATCTAGAAAAGATCAGAAACACACAGTTCTGTATCTCTGCAAACTTTTGTATCTGATTTTAACCACTTTGCTTAGGTACAGGAAAAATGCAATCACACATTAGTCTTTTTCCACCATTTTGTACACACAGATATTTTGTCCACAGAAAATACTGGTTAAAAAATATTTATATCTGTTACTCTGTTACTCTTGGTAATATATTTCTGATTTTTTATGTTTATCAAGTGCAAGATGAAGTAGTTGACATGTTTAAGAACTGAAGCCATGTGACACATTCCTACAAACAGTACAAAGATACCTGTTAATAATAAATCTGTTCCTGCCATTCCATCAAACATCAGTGGTGGTCCATGTAGCACTGGGAGACTTTGCTGACACCCAACATAAAAATTATAAATGAACATAAATGCAGAGAGAAGATCCTGATGTTATTAAAATATTTAAGATTTGGAAGTCTTTAATATAAAATACCATTTTCCAGCAAAGATCACAATTGTGTCAGCAATACAGAGGAAAGCTGAATTTTTAATTTAGGATGGAGCAGGGTCATGATATTAAAACCAAAGACATGAACAAGAATATGGTTAGCCTTGCTAATAAGGGACAAGTTTTTCTCTTCCCTTTTTCCAAGGCAACCTGGGAGACCCAGCTGTGACAGAAAACAGATGCACCACCAAGTCTTAGCAGAACTGTTTGCAGAGAATCCACTGAGTCCACGCCAACGCTGAAACCAGTTCAGGCAAAGATGTCTAAGAAAATCCTTTTATTCAACAAGCTTAAGTTTACACATTTTTGGCTGATGCAACATACTTAGTTAGAAAGTCCTTCAGCCTGGAAATGTGCATCATTTCCTTCATGGTGGTGTCTCTGCTTCTCAGCTGGACCACTCCATTCTCTAGAGTGCCATCACTTATCAAGACCATGAAGGGAATACTCATCTCATCGTACCTGCAGAGAGAAGAACTCACCTGTTACTGCTTTTGGTGCATGGAAAAAATCAGATAACTTACATACAAATGACCATAAACTGTACATGTTTAGTTTTGCTGTATTGCACTAAGTCTGGTGTGACACCTCCAGTTTTCTCATTGCCATTCCTTGCTTTCCTGATTACATGTCTTCAAATTACTTAGCTACTTTATTATATAAAAAGAATCTTATTTAGTAACCTATTAAAAGAGTATTTTTCTACAAGCAGAATTTAGTTTTGTTTTACTGCACATGAAAAAGAGGTTGCATCTCTTTTCTCTCAGAAAAAACCACTCATGACTATGCTCAAGATGCTTTGACATGAGGAGCCACATGCCCCATGTCTGCTCCTGGTTAACAAATCATAACAAAGCCCCCAAATGGAATAGCTGTTTTATGTCCACAAACAGTTAATCCCATCACTAATAGCAGTGGTTCTGTCAAGTTCAAGACTAGACAGAGTGGGTTGTTTGAAAGAGTGCTTAAGAATGAAACACAGAACCAGACCAGATGCAAAAATGGGGGTGAGGGTGGGAAACAGTTCTGCAAGCTTACAACTCATCTGAAGAAATTTGCTTTCTACATGAGAGTTTTTAAAAGGCATTTCACAGTTCCAAGGAAATAACAGTAACATGTGAAAGGCTTCTATTTCAATTAATTTTAAAAATTAGCTGATATATGTTTTTCATAATAAAACTACTTGAATCCAAGTCTGTAGTTTGGGATCCACACCTTCAGTCAGTAACTGCACTCAATGACTTCCTACTGAATAAAGGAATATTTACAGCAGTCCACAGAAAGTTATCTTTGACCTGCAGTTTAATTTACAAAAGACTGTTTGTCCTTACTTTGTATAAAGATGTTCCAGAGACACGTGCACAGTTTCCAGATAACCCGGCCATACAGAAATTCCATTTTCTGTCAGTTCATTGAACAATCCTTGACAAACCTGTGTTCATTTAAAAACAAAAGGTAAAAGACAGACTTTGAGGGCTGAGACTCTATACAAAGAAGCCATTAAAACTCTTAACAAGTGTGGTATTAACATTCCTAGCTGGTGTTTATTTGCTGGCTGAAATAATCTCAAATCAGAAAGCAGCCTGGCAGTTCTGTCTCCACTTCTGTTTAAAAACATGCCAGTGGAAGCTTCCTCCCTTCCACAAGGACTTCATGACTGACTTAAATGAAAACTTTTTAAAAATCCTTCTGAAGGTGCGACTCATGTACTAAGATAATTCTGAAAGAGTAGGCTGAGAGGGATGGTGTTCTTCATTTTCCTTAATTTTGCATCAAGCATCAGCTGTATTGTACCAAAGACAATTTGTCCACACAAGGAACTGCTGCAGTGAATTCCTTTGGCTGTGACCCACAAGCTGCAGAGCAGGAGCACCATGAACCCTGCACAAACAGCAATCTCCAGGAGTCAAAGCATCAGCACGATTTTCCTCAACATAAACAGTGTCTGACTTGTAACACATGACATGGACAGTCAATGCTCAAAATTAAAATACTCTCTTACCACATACCTGCCTCAGCTCTGTTGTTGGACCTTTTCCTACATCCAAGGCCACTTTAAGGGGTGCTAAGCAAGGATGAAGTTTAAGTACCTAATAAATTTTAAAAAAAATCAACAGATTACTAAATGTATTTATCATGCAATTCTAAACAGAAGTAGGAAATAGCAAATTTTTAAAAATTAAATTAGGTTCTAAACATTCAAAAAATTTCTTACAACACAAAATCTTGAATTAGAAGCAAGTGTAGTTTATGCAACAAGCACACAGCCCAGCTACATTCACATGGCAGAAATTACTCTATTTTGGCTGATCTCCAGAAAAGAGATTAAGACTTGGTAGCAGAGTTCCATCATCTTGAATGGAGCCAGAGTGATGAGAGCCAGCTTAGCAGGCAGCTCCTATCCAGTCTACTGCTGTTCCTAAAGCCCAAACACCTGCCTGGGTAACAGCACTGACAGCCTGCACCCCAACTCCAGGAAACAGGGGAAAAGTGGGGAGAATGATGTCCTTGGGGAGATGCCCCATTACCACCTGGGACCCACTTTCTCTACTCTGCTCAGCCACTTTCAAATGCTGCTGGAAAAGACAAATTGCTCTTTCCCACAATCTGCAGCTACATTCCAATTTCTCTTAACCCCATCGCTTGCATGGCAAGATCCTACCTATTGATCAGAGAGAAGGGTAAATCAGGAAAAGGGGACCTCAGAATGAGAAAAATTGCTTATGTGGGGACAGGGAGCACAGGGGCTGTGCCATGGGGCCAGCCTGGTGCTGCCAGCGAGAAGGTTGAGTCTGCACCTATTGGGAAGGGATCAGGATGGCCACATGGAAAAGGAAACATGGCCATACTTGAATGTATCACATTGTCTAGGGGGGTTGTACTTATTTTCTGACATTTTCTACAGGAAGTTACCTTTCTCTGAGAATTTTTCTTTGCTGTTAATGGATTCTCAACTACCTGTAGAGAATCAAAGAGATAAGCTAACACTCCTCGGTCCAGATTCCCATTCACAGACAGAACATGAGGGATGACATTCTTCCTTCCATCTCGGCCCTGAAGAGAAAAAACCCACGTAGGAACACATCAAAGATTGTCCCCAAAAGCTTTTTGTTTGCTTTAAATGTATAATGAGACACTGAGCTCAAGTACTCTTATTTCATTTAAAATACAGACATTTATTTGAAACATTACCAGCAATTTTAGCAGTGTATAAGTAACCAGGTAAGGCTGTAACAGTGGGGAAAGCAGGTCAGGGCAGGATGGGATTCATTTCTTGCTCTGCCACTTTGATCATAAATTTAAATCTATGGCAAATACATTTGAAAGTCTGCATATTCTTCTGGAGGTTTGCAGATTACTTCCAAGTGACCATGAGTCCCCACATTCTGAGAAATCCCTATGTAACCCAGTTTTGTAGAAATAAACTGCAAAAGCAGGAAAGACAGGACTATCATGAGAAGAAGGTTGCAATTTTCTAGTAAAATACAAAGTTACTCTGGTTTTATCTGTTTAGCCTAACTCCAAATTTAGTTTCCCATTTATTAGGTTTGTTCACTCTTCAACATACTCAGTGGAGAGGTTTCCCTCTGGTCCATTCCTCCCTTTTCTATAAAGCTATTTTTATAACCCATTAAGTTATAAAAACTTCTACGTACATGAAAGTGAACAAGCTACAGCAAGAAATAAAACCCCTCACATTTACAGGCTGTTTTTGATGCAAACTGAACAGTGCAAAACACAGTCTGAGTTTTTGTTTCCATTTACTCACAGATACAGGTAAAAGCTATGCCTCTGACAACAGCTGTCTTGTCAATAGGGCTCATTTCTAATTTTGAAGAATTCCTTGCAAAAAAATAAAAGTACCAAACACTACTTTATCAGCTTTGAAAATGATGGTTTGATTGCAGAGGGTCAACTGTACTGTTCTTGCAGCAAATGAATAAAAGGCCAACCACATGCTAAGCAAAGAAACCATTTCCCTCACACATTACCATCTTTATCAGGAAAAATGTTTCATACAGTAAAGCTTACAAGTAATTTAGATCTCTCTCCTGGATACAGCTGTAACAGTTCAGTATCACCAAGGTTCTTCAGCGTTTCTATTGTTTCTGTCCCCCAGGGAAAGCTATAATGTAACTTAAATCCTCTTCTGCCCTCTTCATCCTGAAAGTCGCTGCTGCTGAAGTTAGACGGGCCTACAGCAAACTGAAAATAAGGAGTAAGAGGTGATCACTACTGCAAATCCCATAGTAACTACAAAAAACAAGTCTGCAATGCAAACTGGAGTCTGGGTTGTTTAATACCATTTTCTGATTTTCAGCCAAAGGTTTTTATAAGTTAAAGCCCAAATCTCTTGGTTGTTTTACGGCATTTTCATCTCACATCACTGACAAACACAAAACATTTGCCTTTCTGTAAGTCACGTTATAAACTAGTTATCAGGTTTGTCATCAACTTCAGTAGCTTCTCAATTTCCACGAGAAATGCACCTAGAACAGGCCAGTAATGTAAGGCCATAAAACCAACCAGGGTGACTATTCCCCCCAAGGCATAAAGGAGCAGGCCAAGTTTCCCCATGGATATGCTGCTGTTACCTTTCTCCACCACTGGAGCCTCTGGCGTAGCCAGTAATCGAGCCACTGTCCTGCAGTTCTGGGAGAACTAAACCAGGCAAGCAGAGACGTGGTCCTCTCGCCTATTCTTTAAACAACAGCAAGGGCAGCAAGTTAACACCTTGGGAAATAACAAGGGGAAAGCAAGAAACAGCATTCAAAACTAATCCAAAAGTGAAACAGTTGGTTTAGGTGTAAGGGGTTAACTGCTCTATTACTCTACCTTGTAAGGTTTTTGTTGTGTTGTTCATCTCCTGACACAGAATGTTCACTTTCCGGAACAGAATGAAAGCACACTCCAATCTGAGCAAGGCCACAGGGCAGTCTTTTGTTCACCAGCTCTAAGCAGCTGACATATTGCGCCAGAACACCTACAAAAGACAAAGCCCTGTTTTTAGTGGCCACGGGAAAGTTTCTGATGTTTTAACTCTACCAAGAACAAATTAAGCACATATTATACACGTGTTGTTTGTACATGCAGTCCCACTATCTTTACTAGCATTGATGCCTTGCAGACATGGGCTCAGTAGGCTGGTTCCTCTGGGCACGTTGATTTTAATGTGCTTTTCCCCGACTTACAGGGAGCTTAGCTGCTGCCCACCTGTACTGGTAAAATCCTTGGAAAGCACGCACAGAAGGAACATTCCAACCGCACCAAGGCAGCTGGGAAAACCCCTTAAATAAAGCTGCTTCGCTCCCAGCAGGAAACTCGTGCGCAGGGTGGAGGCTGAGCGGAGCCGCCCGGGACCTACCGGGCAGGAGGCTCTCCCGCAGCAGCCCCGTGGCCCCCAGGACTTCATCCAGGGCCGGGCCGCCAGGGCTCTGCCCATAGCCCTGGAGGGCTTCGCGCAGCGTCTCTGGGTGCAGCAGCCGCAGCCCCTGCGCGTCCCGCAGAGCGCCAGGTGGGCCGTGGAGCGGGGCATCCACGGGGAACACCTGCTCCCGCACGGGCAGCGCCGAGTCCCACCACTGCGCCGCCAGGTTAGCGCGCAGCGCCGCGCCCAGCGGCCCGAAGCCGGGGTGGCGGCCGCTCAGGTAGGCGCTCCAGGGCAGCGGCCCCGCGCCGCCCCGTAGGAAGAGCCGCCGCCAGCACACCTCCAGCAGCTCCGCCCCGCCCGCCGCCTCGGAAGCACTGCTGCCCTGCGAGTACGGCCGCGCCGAACACCCGGCCGGCTCCGGGACTCGCCACCGCCTCGGCTGTCCCAGGGCGGCGCGGCCGCACCAGCGGCAGCCTTGGCGAGAGCCCAGCGCCATCTTGCCGCTCCCTCACGGCGGGGCTGGAAGGGGAGGGGGGAAAGTGTGTGTGTGTTGGGGGGGGGTCGGGGCAGCCATTGCGCACGCGCAGCGCCCCGCGCGGGAAGGGGGGGGTCAACATGGCGGCCGTGCATGCGCAGTGGAACAATCGCGGGCCGAAGGTCAGGGACCGTCCGAGGTGAATTTTCTGTCCCCTGATTGAATCTTCTCACGCTTTGTAACCGTAATGATGCCGTCTTAGATAACTTCTGCTAGAGGAATTGACGTCTTGGAACTGAATTTTCTTGTCTTTTGTAAACATAACTAATGTGGTTAAGTAACTTCTACAATAGAAGTTGCTTAATAAAAGAACTCGTTTCAAGCATTGGGTAAGATCACATCACACAAACAAACATACACTGGGTAGGCGGAGAATGTGCTTTAGATAGGTGGGTTCGTGTACATTTTATTGTAAAAAATATGTAACTTTTTACCCCTTGGTGTGCTTGATAGGTGTAATGAACCTTGAGCCCCGCGCAGAATAAACAATGTCTCTTTTATAAACCAAACTGGCCTTAAGAGCTCCCAACATCGGCAACAAGGCCGCACGTGCCGGGGTCACGTCTGGCCTGCGCCTGTGGGACAGGGACGGCCAGAGCTCGCCAGCACCGCGGACTGGGAGGGGGACAATGGGACAGACCCGGCCCTCGCTGTCAGCCGAACACACCGCAGCTGCACGGGCACGTTCCTGGGAAAAGCCCCTCTGGATCTACCGCGGGGCAGCGGCACGTCCGGGGCACATCAAGGCAGCAGCCAGAGCTCGGGCGGAGGCGGCACCGCGGGGCCGCTGCCAAGTGCGCGGGCGAGGCCCCGGCTCCCCGCGGCCGCTGGGCTCGGCGCCGGCAGCGCAGTGGAAATTTCCATCGCGGCTGCAGCCCGAGCTGGCGGCGGGGCCGGGAGGGAGGCGGGGCTGCGGCGGGAGCCATTCCGCGGGCCGCGGCACGAAGGGCTCGGGCTGGGATAAGCCCCCTCCCCCGGGCCCGGCGCTGACAGCCGCCTTAGTAGGGCACTGGGTCAGCGGCGGGAGCTGCTACTGCCGCCTCAACAAGAACTACAGGCAAGTTTAGTTCCTAGGCAGATTTCCATGAGTTCAATTCTGCCAGAGTAGCACCGGCAGTAATGTCAAAGCTGCTTAGAGCTCGTTTCTTTATATTATTTTATATGTGCAAATGTTATACCCTCAGGGAACACTGCCCCACGCAAAGGGTCGTTTGGAAAGAGTTATAAAATACACGGAAGAAACCTCTTTCTGCGTTTAGATTTTATACCACTGTTAAAGACTCTCATATCTCAATTTTAATGCACAAGCTATTAATGTGACTTTAATACTAAAAAAAACCCCAACTTTACAAAACCAGCTTTTCAATGCATTTTGTTTCAGGCCACTGACATGGAAACTTAGGCATTAAGTCATACTTCAGTGATAAATAACTTACTTCCTTGTTTTTCACCCCTGGTGACACTGAGCAGTGTTCCAAAACAAATAAATGAGAAAAAAAACCCCGCCCCTACTCCCCCCAAAAAACCCCAAACCAAAACACATTGCCACCTGCAGTTTTAGACTGCAGTGGGGTAGTTCCAAGCCTCCAGCTGGAGTTCTCAAAGCAGGAGTGAAGGATCACAAAATATCGTCAAGTGACAGAACTTCACAGAAAAGGAGGAAATTTAAGAGGCAGATTAGGCTGCGTTAGAGAACATCACAAGCTGAGACTCAGAGGGAAACAAGGACAAGTAATCAAGGACTGAGCAGACTAAGCAAAAAGATGTAAGTGCAAAACAAAGTTAACTCAGGTTCAAAATAACATAAAAAGAATCTCGTGGATTCAACCTTAAACACATTAAGTGTTGTTAAACTTAAAACTCATCACTGTTACTGATAAACAAGGAGGAACTGAAAATTAGTATTAACTGGAATCAAAATACACCATGCTTCAAAAGCATTAAGCACTTTAACCCCAGGATGAAGAATTATACTGTTCTTTTACTCGAAATGGGCAGTGCTTTGAGATTAGAGAGTCATTTGCACATACTAGAAGTCCTTAAAAAAAAAAAAAATCCATGAGGCATTGTCATGGATCAACAGCCCACTTCCCTCCCACCACCTCCATAAAGAAATCACTGCTCAATACCAGTTTAAGTATAACTTGAAAGTTTTAATACTAAGATCTTCCCGTTTCTCTGAAGCTCAGAAGCCTGCATGCTAACTCACAACGCCTGGCAGCTGTGGGTACACAACACTCAAGCCTGGTCTGCACATATGCTCGTGTGAAGGCGACAGTTACGGTGCTGCAGAAGCTTCCTACGCTCGTAGCAGCTCGTTAGCAACACCACTACAGAGTTTTGATCTTTTCCAAGAACTGGCCCTACGCTAGTGAGACAAGGAAGAACGCTGCTTCCAATACTTTCTTAGAAGCCAGCTTTAATTTTCTTCCCCATCGAAGCAGAGCCTGCCATGCTAAGCAATCTAGCCCAATCAAGGCAAGGCTGGTATTTGTATAAGCTTAAATGTTTAATCAGACACAGTTGAGAAACCTTTCTAGAATTTAATATAAAAACATTTGACATTTTTCATTAATGTAAAGTTGTGCACATGTTGAGAAAATTATCATCTGAAAGAAAAATCGGTCTTCAAATATCTTTATTGGAAGGCCATGCACTGCCTTCTGTTACTGTATTTCAAATCACTGTACATTTACTTTGAAAACACTGTCTGCATTTTCTAGTACAAAAAACTAAAAATTGTTTCAGGAATGTAGAGAAATATTCAACTTAAATAGCGAAAAAGTGCACCATAATTACTGCTGCACTGCAGTCATTTCTGCATTTCCCATTTCTTAAATAACTATCCTGTTTTGATAACACACAATATAAAGAGCAATTATGAAAAACTGAGACATTTAAATACACTAAGTTATTGAGAATAACTTGTGGGCATGGGGTAACCTATCATAGGAGCAGCACCAGTGGCAGGGTAGGCGTACTGCTGCTGGTTCATGCCATTGTGCATGTTGGCAATGTTACTGCCGTACTGCTGCTCGTAGCCGTTCTGGTACGCTCCCGTGGGGTTACCGCCGGCCCTGAAGCCGGCCTGCATGCCTGCAGCTGCAAAGCCATTCCCAAAGGGAGTTCCATTGCTGAAACTCTGGGCGCTGTAAGCCCCGTTTTGGGTTTTTGCTCCGAAGTCTCTCTTGCCTAGTGCACCATAGGTTCTCTCAAAGTTCTCCCTCTCTCTAAAACTACTAAATCCACCCCTTTTGCCCGCAGAGTATCTGTCACGTCGGTCACCTCGGGAACGACCTAGTGAAAGAGACAGGACAGTTATGTGCATTATAAAGGCTCTTCAGTTCAGTTAAGCAGCATTCATTTTCAGTCCCAATAATTCCAACCTACTATAAAAGCTTTCCAGGTGCTTGCTGGACTCCAGTTAGATAAAGCTGTCTCACTTTTGAGGAGTCATACACTCTCCCCCATAACACAAGTTGTGGCATCAAAGTGACTTTTAACTTGCCAGCAGGACACTTGGGTCCATCTCTCTTTCCAAGCCACAAAACTGAGTCCACGAGTGTTTTATTTCAGGGCAAGTAAGAAGTATCTCTTTGGCCTGCCCTAGCCATAGGTGCACCACAGCATAGGCTAGGAGCATCTGGGTGCTGTTTTTTGGCTTTTGCGTTAATGAACACCTTCTGAGGTCACAGTAACTGGTAACTAAACCACCTTCCACGTTTATTTTGAAGAGAGGCTGAAGGTGGAATCTCAAGTTTCCATTTTGTTCTGAAAGCTATGCACCAAGATCAAGAACGGCCCTTACCTGAACCTCTGTCTTCAACCAGCTGGAGCAATTTGGGGTTGATGGCTTGATTAGCCTCCCGAAGCACAGAGATGAGGTCATTTACTTGCTTAATATTGTTAGGAGTAAAGAATGTGTATGCTGTGCCTGTTTTGGTACTGCGGGCAGTTCGTCCAATTCGGTGGATATAGTCCTCTGAGGAGTTAGGGTAGTCATAATTGATGACAAATTTCACATCTTCCACATCTGTAAAGTGTTGCAGTGTGGCAAAAAGCGAGGTACAAAGTTTTGCACACCACAACAGCCAAATCGAAGATAAACATTAGACAAGAGTATTTTAAAGGGAATAATGGCTGCAAAGAACAGTGTTAGAATCATCCATTTCTGCAAGAGCATAGTGGAAGAGAAAAGTTACGCACACTCCGTCTGATCCCGTTCTCATCACCCACCCTGTGATCCAAAACCTTACCATAAAGGAGTGTGCATTTGCTTGGCATTCCCAACTCAAGTGTCCCCTTTACAAATCATCAAGTGACATCTGAAAGCTTCTTGCAGTAGGGCCACTAAAGCTCACAGCAGCCTCTTCATGTGCTCATTTGAGGACCTTAGAGTAAAAACATACAAGGTCCTTCACATACACACTCATTAGAAGCTCAAAAAAAAGGGGCCAACACTGCTCGTCTTGCCAAGACCTTTGAACTGCAGCTGCAAGAAAAACATACCTGTCCCCCCAAAGTCACCAAGTTGTTTTTATGCACTGTGTCTTGTCTAGGCAAGCGCTTCCAAGAAGCCAGGGTTCACTTGAGAATGGGTCTCTCTCTGGCAGGTCTCGACATGACGACTATGTATAGGTGGAGGAACTTCGACTTTCAAAGGCATTGAAAAGCCATTGCTTTCCTGCCCCACTTGTTAAAGTGAGAGGTGGACTTTTATGCTCAGATTTCATGTGCCAGTACTCACCAATTTGTACAAGGCTTAGTACATTTTAAAGCTGCTCTCTCCATTTCATGGTTGAAAAAAATTTCATAGAACATTGAAGTTTAAAATTATGTTCTTCAACATTTCAAAGAACTCACTGAAATTCAAAGACCCACAGATCACAGCAGACAGTATGCACAAAACTAACAGTACTGCACCATGGCAAATCATGCAAAGCATGGAGAGAAGAGAAATACCAGGGCAAAGTGAACTGTGAATGAAACTGCTTATTTCATGAGAGAACAGTTTATGGGGGTAGTAGTTTAAAGGATGATCTTTGCCTTTTGAAGATTACTGGCACACAATGCTTTCAGCTTTCACCTCTCTATTTGACTGGAAGCAGCCAGCCGATCATTTCCACTAGTCCTCCATCCCCCTCGAGTCCTCCGATTGTCATGCCTAGGCCTTGCCACAAAGACTGCACCTTTATGTGAAGAAAACTTAGAAAAATGCAGAGGTTAAAGAAAGCAATAGACTTTCTTTAAAAGCTTTGGCCAACTGGCATTACGAGTTTTTACTAACCTAGACCTCTGGATGCAACATCTGTAGCAATCAGGATTGGTGCTTTTCCATGTTTGAATTCTGTAACACAAGAAATGAATCAATTCTTTTCCTTAAACAGCACCCATCAATCAGATGCTTGCAGGAATTGCTGAAACACTCACCATTTAGAACCCAGTCCCGCTCCTGCTGGCTTTTATCACCGTGAATACCCATCGCTGGCCACCTGAAAACACAGAACTTGGCTGACCCAAGAACTCTCCTCTGGTGGTTTCAGTAGTCAAAGACTGGGCTACTGGCAAATTCCAGTCTGGGCATTGCAGCTGACAGCTGCTGCCCCTGACAGTTTTGATTCTGAACTGTGGTGTCAAGAGCAAGTGCAAGACTATTGCTCAGTGAAGTCTCAGCTGTTACTCACCCATCTCTCCTCATTTTTCTGGTAAGATCATCACAACGCCTTTTGGTTTCCACAAAAACAATTGTTTTGTTTTCCTTCTCGCTCATGATTTCTTCCATCAAACGAATAAGCCTGTTTTTAAGAGATTATGGTTAGAGCTTAGACTGCTTTCTACTGTACAAGTTTAAACTTATTTCTTGCCTTTAAGTTGCCTCAGACTGATGTCAAAAATCCATCAAAATAAGGCATTCGTTCCACAGTTCATGAAGTAAAACTGACAGAAAACACAGAATGCTTTGCCCCCAAGGCCTACTTACTTGTCATCTTTCTCTACATCATGACACACATCCACAATCTGAAGAATGTTGTGGTTTGCACTCAGCTCCAGTGCACCAATGTTAATGTGCACATATTCTTTCAAGAAATCTTCAGCCAGCTGCCTCACTTCCTTAGGCCATGTGGCACTCCACATCAGAGTCTGCCTGTCAGGCTAGAAAGATCAATGAAAGATCAGTATAGGGTTAAGTTCAATGCCCAACCAAAACTACCCAGGCTTGCACAGCCCTTACTCTAACAAGGGTAGTGGCAGTAGTTTGTATCTGCTATAGTGATAAATGCATAAACCATTTATACTCACTCTTATCTGATCCACAATTTTTCTGATCTGAGGTTCAAATCCCATGTCAAGCATCCTGTCAGCTTCATCAAGGACAAGGTAGGTACACCTCCTGAGATTGGTCTTTCCAGCTTCTAGGAAGTCTATAAGTCTTCCAGGTGTTGCAATGCAGATTTCCACACCTAAAACCAAGCAGTTCCATCAGCTGAAGCAGTTTCCACAGTGCCTCAGACAGAGGAGCACTGAGGCTGATCCATACCTCTTTCCAGGTCACGGATTTGTGGTCCCTTTGGAGCACCTCCATAAATACACGTGGACTTCAAACGACACGCTCTGCTGTACTCTGCAGCCACCTGCTGCACTTGTTGGGCCAGTTCACGGGTTGGTGCCAACACAAGACACTGCAAATAGGATGCCCATGTTTTAGTTCAATACCCATTGGAAGATCCCAGTCTGAGACTAATTCTGAGTGTAAGTTCAGTGCCAGATAGACTGAAGTAGATTTAAGTAGTCAAACCAGCAAATCAGGTTACCTGGCATCTTAACTACCACCAAACATGTGAGAGATACCTGAAAGTCACTAGCTTCCAGGGATAGCAATTTCCAAAATATAACCCAAAATCAAAGCCTGTTCTGTACTATTTTCAGGACAATTCAATCAGAGTTAACAGAATCTGCTTGAGAAACTACCCCAACAGGGAACCACTTTATTCCCACAGATAAGCAGAATGCTGCTATGCACTCTTATGAGCATGGCCAATTGAGACTGTAAAATACAGTACTTAGAAATTAAAATCCCCTTTCATTTAGGAATACTCACAATAGGTCCATCTCCTCGCTCCAGGAATGGCTGATGATTTATATGCACAATGGCAGGCAGTAAGTACTGTTTGGAAGAAAGAAAAATCTCATTACAATCTCTTCCTTGAAGTATTCATCCTGCACTAGGCTACACCATACTCTCACTGCTGAAATCCAGCAGTATTTCAGGCTACAATCAAAACTTACTGAGAGTGTTTTCCCTGATCCAGTCTGTGCCACTCCAACCATATCCAATCCACTCAATGCAACAGGCCAACCTTGTGCTTGAATAGCAGTTGGTTCAGTGAAGTTCTGCCTCTGAATTACTTCCATAACATTTGCTTGAAGAAAAAAATTAAACATATAGATTCAGATGTTGCCCTAATCCAATCTGAAGAACAACCAGTAAAGTAGTCTTCACTTACCAGGGAAGTTTGCTTCATAAAAGTTGATAATTGGTTTTGGACAGTTATGGCCCCTAACTGTGACCTCTTTGCTCGCTCTGTACTGTTCAACTTCTTGCTGCAAAACAAAACACCAGTTATTGGAAATAAGCTCTGATACTGAAGTTGTTTTTTAAGTTACCCCATCTGTGCCTGCTGGGCCCCATGACCCTCAACATGTTTGCACTTTCTGTTTACTTTTGCTCGAGCCAGATCAGGTACATACCGCAGTACGTCTCACTACATCCGGATGTTCTTGGTAGAAGTTCTTCTCAAATTTGGGCAGCTCATCCAAGTTCCATTTCTTTTTTGTAAGTTTCTCCCCAGGGTTTCCAAATTTCTTCCCAGAGAGAGGTCCACCTCTACTTCCTCCAAAACGAGGGGCTCCAAACCTAGACAAAAAGAACACATCATAGAATCCAAGAGAAACATTTTGGTCCTCTTCCTGAAGAACTTCACCACCATCTCTGCAGCCCACCCATTACTTTACAATTCAGTTGTGTAAACTCTACCTACTGAAGTTTCAGGACACTAGAACTTTAAACTCATACTTTAAGCTGCAGATGTCACGATCTGCGTGGCCACAATTCTTACTCACAAGCTAAGATAACGTGTCTTTATCATTTCCATACAATGCAATCGAACAGCAAGTTACAACAAGCATTAAAACCTTGGCACTACCCCGTGATCAAAATGGTTTCCCGTCCCAGTGACACTCCTATTGCTGAAAGGGGGCAGGAGTGGTTACGAAACCTTGAGATAACTTTCCCGTAAACCGGTCTTTTGCATGCACCAAAACACAGACTTCTTTTAACAACGGTGTTTTATGAGGCCATGCGCTTTATTAGCATTTCAGGTTCGGTCCCTCCGTTCGGAGAAGGCTGATCTGGAAAGCCCCGAGGCGCGGCTCGGTGCCGCGCTGGATCCGAGCACGGGGCTCCCTCCCCCGCCCCGATCACTTCCCAATTTCGGCCGGGCGAGCACTGCGAACGATCCTTCCCGGCACAACACAGCGCTTCCCGAGCGGCCGCTGCTTCCTGCCAGCGCTGTTTCCTTTGTCTCTCATTTCTGTCTACGCCACATTTTCCAGCCGCTGCCATTTTAGAGCCGGGGCTGGGCGGGGGGAGGAGGAGGAGGAACAAAGGCAGCAGCAGCATAGCCGGCATTTTGATTCCCCTCAGCCACCGCATGGCGGGGCCGGCCATTAACATCCGCTTACACAACACAAAGCGGAGCCGGCCGGCTCCTGCCGGCCACAGCCCGAGCCTGGGGAGGGGGAAGGGAGGGGAGGGAACCGCCCTGCCGAGAGCTCCCCAAGGCTTCGGCACTGCCAACCCACTGACCCACAAACCTCCAGCCCGCCCGCCGCTCTCAGCGGGGGGAATCGGGCTCTGCGGGACAGTCTGTGCTGGGGGGGCGTCCCCAGGGGGTTGGGGCGAGTCTCTTCCTTCCCAACAAGGGAAAAAAAAAAATAAAAAAAAATTAAAATTTCCCCGCGGTATTCTCAGCGGTAGCACACCCGCGGGGGGTGCTCTGAGGCGAAGGAACCGACAGTCGTTCACTATCGGTGGCCTAAAAAAGCCCGATACCCTCCCACGGCCACCCCTCGCGGCGGGAGCGCTGAGGGAAGGGCTCAGGGCCCAACCCCCGCCCCGCCGCCATCTTAAAACGTCTGAAAAACAACCCCGAGAGCCCCACGGGCAGGCTCAGAGTCCGGACGCTGGCGGCGGCTGGCGCCGGCCGTGCCCCCGGACTCACCCTCTATCCCTGTCGCTGGAATACCCGGGCATGGCGATGGTGGCGGTGGGCGAGGCGACTCCGGTCACTTAGAGCGGGTGGCGAAGGGTTGAACAAGATCCGGCGCCGTTGGCGGGGGCCGCTCACTGTGGGCGCCCGGCCGCGCGGACGCCGGTTATATACGGGGCAGCGGGGGCTGCCGGGAGCCGGCGCGTGACGCACGCGCGGACCCCACCCCCGCCGTTATGTAAGCGGCCCGAACCGGCCCGAGGCCCCGCCCCCTTCCGCGTGGGCGTGGCCGCGGCTCGCCCGGCTGACCGGCTTTGAGCTCGCGGCCGGAAGTGCCCCCCCCCGCGGGGAGAGCACCCCCACCCCCACCCCCTGCCCGCGCGGAGCCGCTGCGGGCGGGAGCCTCGTTCTCGCTGAGGGCACCCGGGCCTGAGGGGGACGGAAATGGAGAATTCTCTCTTCAGTCTCCATAAGTGCAGGCTTTCGGCTGCCCGGCGTGTTCAGAAGGCAGCTCACCTCCTCAGCACTTTCGGCAGGGCAGAGCAGGACCCTGATGTCCGCAGTGCAGTCCCCCAGTTCTCACAGATCTGTTTGTGAAAATCGTCCTGAAATAGCTCGAGATGAGCCCAGGCTTTTAACTAATAAACATTTTAGCTTATAATTGACACTTCACGGTAGGTTGGCCCCATGCCCACCTGTGACTTTCGCTCTCGGAAGGAGCCAGATGTGCGGATCCTGGAGAGCTGGACGCAAAATAACGTCAAACCTCCTCAGGCCAGTTCTTTTTTGCTGTTACCCATTGCCTTTTAAAATATTCATAAACGTATATGTAAACAGAAATATTTATAAATATATGTCCGTAAAGTTACCAGTGTTATCTTTTTGGATTCCACACCAGGGCCAGTAACCTGAGTCAAAGGTCACCTGAGGTGCAGTGGCGCTGAAAAGGCACGGGATAAAAACACTCAATACCCCAAGGGGACACTGCTGCTCACCCACCGCTTTTGCCAGGCCAGTGTACGGCGCCCTGAGGCTTTACACACACAAGAGTTGAAGTTTTAGGCACAAACACCCCTGTGCAGCCACCTGCTGCAGGCAGAGAAGGAAGAAATGAAAACAACATAAGGAAGAAGTGCCATAACAACACTTCCCGTTTATATCCTCCCACCTTCTAGCAATCTGTGCTTTAAGGCTTTTCTGGGACAAAAATAACTGTATTTGATGGCCATTTCTTCACATTTTGGTTCTATTTATGCCCTTAGCTTGTAACATACCATGACAATGTGTTTTACGGTTTCAGTGTATGCAACCTGAAACACATTTACTTTCATTTTCAACATATTGCTAGATAAGAACAAGGGGCATAAAACAATGAGTTAGTAAAAATTGTGAGTAATAACTTTCTGTTTATTTATACTGTTTGTGGACATTAATATCTTCTAAGTCACCTCCTTTATAATAAACCAAAGCTGCAGTGTAATTTTTCCTCCTTTTAAAGCAATTCCACACTTATAATTATCCTTGCCTTTTTTTTAATTTACTGTCAAGAAATTCACAGCATCGACCCCATACAGATCTACATAATGAAAATATAAATATGTTTTTTATCTGTTGCATATTATTTTCTAGCCTTTAAAAAAATATTGCTAAGAATAGAGCAAGGTTGGCAAAGACTAGAGGTGTGCATGATGTTGTCCTCAAAAGTAACACCTAAGTCAGGCTTGTTTATGAATAGCCACAGCTGTTCGACCCTCAGCAATTTGGAATACCACCTTGCTCAACCATTTTTGTTGTAATTAATTTTTTATTTTCAATAGTACTCCAACTTGACTGGTTTTGTTAATACTATCCCAGCAAATTTCTAGTAGAGGAATCTCCCCAGTTTTTTTTCAGTATAGAGTTACTTATTTAATATGGCTTGTGAAAGATTTTTGTCCTCAAACACCCCTATTAACACTCTCCACCCTCTGACCCTACAGGCTTCCTGTTCCCGGTAAGTCTGAAAAAGATTTTTGCAAAGGCTGTAAAAATAAATTTTCTTGTTCTATTGCATTTATCTTAACACAGATTAATTTGATTGTGTTTGTATATAACTTTGTGGCTCCTGTTACTGTGCTGTTTAATCTTTCTAAGGCTTTAATGAATTGAAAAGACTAAACAAAAACACGGCCCCTGCCTTGTCTACACGCAGTTAAGTCTACAAGGAACTCCTTTCAATTTCCTTTGTAAAAAAACTTCCTCATTTTTCTGTTCCGCCCTCCTAAGTTAAACATCGTTGATTTTCCCGTGTTCTCTTAATTATAGCCAACACATGGAAACAAATCAACACAGCTTTGCAGAGCTGTGTATGTAGCAAACTGAAATCCGTGTTTAGTTTAGTTTCGATAGCACTGATCTGTGTTTGCTTACACACAACAAAAGCTCTTTTGTGTTCCTGAGATGCTGCGTGCACTTGGATTTGGATCTACAAATGACGCCCCTGCGCTGCTGGAGCTCACAGCACTGAGGTTTAATTGCTGGGTCGAAATTGGAACCTCATCTGCTTTTGTTGTGCTCAAGGAGTTTAATGATAAAGGGCACCATTTTTGCTTTCAACATGGAAAACCCAGAACTCCTAAGGAGCATGGAATACTGTTGCTCAGAAAGAAATAACAGACTTTCACCATCCAACCTGCCCAATAAACTGCATGCCAGCAGCTAATACAGATAATTTCAATTATAGATTTTATTTTAAATAAAGGTTTTAGCTCTCCTTTCATGCAGAAATGCCTTCGGATTACCCTGTCAAACCTGTATCGTGGCAATTAATACCAACCCCCGGTAATGAACATACCGGCCAGCAAACGTCCCGGGTCAGCCTGCAAGGTCAAATGCTAGAACTTTCCCCCAGGTCAGGGCGGTCCCCACCCGTGTTACCGAGGCAGCGCCAGCCCCGCCTCCCGTTCAGGTGACGAAGGCGGAGCCTCACGGACAAACCCCCCCCGCCCCTCCGCCGCCATTTTGCGCCGCCAGCCGCGCTCGGCGGCCGGAGCGCCCCGGGGCCGGCCTGTGCTGCCCGGGAGCCTCGGCCCACGGAGCCCCGCGCCGGTGGCGGCACCGGCCGGGCGGAACCGGAGCGCCCGGGCGGGGAACGGCGGGGCCACGGCGGGGCCGCCCGTCACGTGACCGGGGAGCGGCGGGGAATAAATAGCACGTGACCGGGGAGCGGGAATAAACAGCACGTGACCGGCGCTGCGGCTCGGTTTTGTGGCACGGGCTCTTTCTCTGCTCCCAGTCCCGTTACAGAGAGGACCGGCCCGGCCCCGCCCCACCCCCGTAACACCGTCCATGACCGACAGCACCGGCCATGACCGACGCCACCGGACACCCCGGCGGGTGCGGCCCCGCCCCTTCCTGCAGCGCCTGCCCAATGGGCGCGCAGGCCGCGGTTTAAATGGCGGGGGCGGGCCCGGCCTGGGCGTTGGTACCGCCATGGGCAGCGCTGAGGGCTCAGGTAGGGCCGGGCCCGGGCGGCTCCGAGCGCGGCTGGCGGGGCCCGGCCCTGAGGGGTCCGGCCCTGCGGGGTCTGTGCTGAGGCGGGTCCCGCTCCCGGCCCTGCGGGGTCTGCGCTAGGGCCGCTCCCGGAGCAGCGGCCGGCCCGGCGCCCGCAGAGCCGGGGGAGCGAGCCGGAGAGATTCCTTCTCCCTCATCACCCCCCCGCTGCTCGCATCGCTGGCACAATTTTATTCAGCTCATTATTTATTAATTTATAAAGCTCATCCACTCAGCTCATGTTTATTCATTTATAAAGCTGTCGTTTTTTTGTGTTACGGCTTTTTAAGCTCTTTGCGGTAACTTCTCCCTTCCCCTCTTTTGTCTTTGTTCCTTTCCTGGCGACACTTTTAACTTAATAAAGCTACAAATAAACAGCAATTCAAGTGTTCCAAGACATCGGCCTGATATGTAGGAGATGCTGCTTTAACCTTTCATGCATCTGAAACTTAAAATAAAGTGATATTTGGAACATGAAGGAGGAGTTGAGAGATTGAAAAGCAACACCCGTGTGCAGGAGGCTGAAAACTCTACAAATTAATTTCTGTTGTAGTAATTCTATACTTTTTCCTTCCAAAGGTGACTTTTGCCTTCTCCAGTAAATTGAAGTTCTTAATGCTTGTTAAAATAAGTGTCCTTCAAAGCACATGGATCTCAGGTCTCAAAGTTTGGTGAAAATCACAATGTTAATGATCTCACTGTGCTCAACCAAGCAATTGGTGGGACCACCTCTGTATTCTTCTAATCCTTAAATAATTAATTACAGTAGAATTTACTTTTCATGAGGAGTATTTACATTGGCAGTGATGACATGGCCTGAGACTATCAGAGAACCTGGGTTTGTCAGAGAAGCTCATGTTTTCCAAAAAAGGACCTGTCATTTCTGGTCATTGATAAATGGTGTATCAAAGCTTGGCTTGTTAAGGTCTTAAAGTTTTGGAGTTCCTGGCTATGAGACCAGATGCAAATTTGTTTTTCATTACATGGAAAAAAAAAATTAACCTGCCCAGCCTGTGGTACTTTGGTGCTTTTCACCTCCCAAGTCCAATTGGGCTATGATTGCACTTAAACAATATTTTATATTTTGGATGGATGGGTCAGCCTGCTGTGTTTCACCACCTCTGGTGGAGTCAAAGACACTTACAGGGGTTGCCTTTCACTGTAAATAACCACTTCTTTATTTCTGACATTAATGTTTTTCTTCTGAACAGATTGGGTTGATGTTGCCAATGATCTTTGTAGGACCTTACACATAAACCAGCACATAAAGCATCTCTCAGAATGTGGTGCTGACCTGTTTGTTCATCTTTATGAGTCAATCTTAGGAGAAAAAGTACCAGGTAGGAATGATAACTGCTAAATCTGTTTTTTATTTTTGTCTCTGTGTATTTTGTAGTTAAATAAAATTGAAACTTGTAGAACTTCCTACAGATGTAGGGATTTAAAGTATTTGTATCCTTCCAAGGACAAAAATAGAAGATGGTAATTCTTTAAGAAGATTTAAGTGGTATTGGCCAATTTTATTTTAACTTTGGACTGCTATGAATGGCAGCTATGAGGATAGCCACAACAGAACTACTGTAAATTAGGCCTTGAAGGCTGTCTGTGGGCATAATACTTTTGAAGGATGTGAACTGGCTCATTTTATCTTACAGCAGAGTTAGCACTGAAGTCTGCTCTCATAAAATGCTTGGTACTTAGAATCTGCTAAAGCTGAGCTGTGATTTAACCCTGCTTTAACCCAACTCCACTGGACTCCAGTGACAACCACTAAGCAAAGGCTACACAATTACACATTTGCTTTGTTTATAAACTCTTATGTGTAAGAAGTGTCAGACTACTGATTGCAGAAGGTTTTAAGAGCACTGAGGTAACTGGCACCTATTGAAGGTAGAAGTCTTTTTAAATGTAAGCCCAGAACTAAAAATAATGTTCTCAATTAAGCAGAGTACATTGCAGTGCAATTAGTGTGTGACAGGGAAAGAAGAAGCCATAACACAAACTGCAGTTCCAGTTTGATGATCTGAACTAGGTGTGTGTGCTGGGAGTGGAGGAGGAGAAATGCTTTAGTAATCTGTTCTTGAATTTAATCCTGATAAAACCCTCACATCTTCCAAGGGGTGTTACAAGTTTGTGCTCAGTATTTATAAAAGCTTTTGTAGGACCATATATGATACTTGGGCTTTTCACACAAGGTACTGAAACAATACTAGCTTGTTAGCAGAAATTAAAGCAGTTTCATTGTTAAGGTACTTGCAACAAGCGATCCATTTAAATAGTCTAAAATCTATTCTTTATTTTAAATAGATTTCATTGCTACTCCCAGAAGCCAAGAGGATGATGCACATAATGTACAGGCAGTAATAGATTCCCTGGCATTGGATTATTTGCAGGTCAGCTTGTCTCACATCACAGGTAAGTACTTGGTTTAATGAGACAAATGCAGTTGAATATTTGTGTGGTTTAATTTAAACACTTCAAGAACCAGGTGTTACACAGCTTGCTCTCATACTTGCATGGAATCTCTTCTATGGTATGGATGTCACCAGAACACTGAGCCTTTGCCTTGGACATCAGGCTATACATTGAAACAGCAAGCAGAGAATAGATAAGAGTAAGAAATGTTAAAGGTAACATCCAGCCATGCTTCATCTGGCTGCCAAAGTGTTACCTGAAATCTGCTATGGCTCAGGCTTGGACACTGGGTTTTAAGACATGACCCTGGAGTTTCAAACTTGTTAATATATTTTAAAAAGTTGGTGAATAAAGAGTTGAACTGTGTTGTGTTATCTGCACACAGATAATGGCTTTCCCTGAGTATTCCTGTGTATGGTCTCACACTGCAAAGAATGAAAACTGCTTGATAAGGAGGATCTGACTTAGTGCCTGTACACAGTGGCTGGTGTTTGCAATCCTGCTGCCACTCCACAGACTGCTTCATGCTATAGTTTTATGTACAAGAAAAATATTAAATACCAATTATCCCTGAAAATATCCCAGAATATTTATTTTGTGTGTCAGCAGTTACTGCATCAATAAACTTATTGGAACTGAAAAGATGCAAATTTAGAACACTTAAAATATACTTTAAGCTTACCTACATAGTCATAAATAAGTGACCAGGTGTCTTCTGGGCTGACACCTTTACAAGAATTTCCAAGCACTCTTCTACAGAATATGCCTTACTTTTGAGAATTTTTCTTCTGTGAAGTACTAATTATTAATATGTGTCATTACCTTCTCTTAAGGTGAGAACATTGTGAAAGGAGACAGGGAATCTATCAAAAACCTCCTTGAAATATTTGATGGTTTGTTGGAGTATCTTAGAGAAGTCAGTGAAACATCTTCTCAGACTGGAGGTGAGATGTAAACCCAAAGTGTTTCCAATGTAGCAAAGATTTATTTGGGTTTTTTGGTTACTTATAACCTTGACAATGGAGAGAAGAGAAAGACAAAACTGACCTCAGGGGATGAAAATTTCAGGGGTGAAGCTGAATATTTGCATTCCTCATTTTCATAAACAATAATAAAATAGATAATTTTCCCCCAAACTTACATAATCTTTCTGCTTCATTCTAGGCAGAAACCTACTCTAGACAATTCATCCTTTGTTAGTTACTTTTCAACCTATAAGCAGATGATTCAGGATTAGGAGTCAAGGAGGGAGATGTTGGCTTTAATTGGAAGAATGAGCAAATATCCCTTTTAGTTACTTGGAGAGAAGGGGGACAGCAGCCTTTCCTGGGAGAGGCTCCTGGGATAGGTCCATAGCAGGGCTTGTTTTGAGGAAGATGGGAAGAGAAGCTGCTCAGCCCTGCAGAGGCATCTCACTGCAGGCACTGCTGTCTGTCTCAGAGCTGGTTAAAGCTGTCACCACGGGCTGGGGCACTCTGTGATAGGGGAGAGAGAGCATTTGGTGCCTGAGTTCCTCCTGAGCTGCTCCAGAGTGGGCAGAGCAAAGGGGACAGTGGGGATGTTCACTGCCTCTGCTGCTCTTCCCTTCCCTCACCCTGCCAGGTTTGTTACCCACTGTGGGTCAGTGGCTCCAATTTTCTAGCTGTAAGTGCACAGTTTAATTCCTTTGAGGAAGAAGAAAGGTTTATTAATAACTGGAACAAGGGGATATATGGCAAAATTTACCATAAAAGCTGCCCCACCTCCCTACCTTCCCCCCTCCATGGGGAACATTACATGGCATCATTTTGGATTAAACACTACAGTGTTGATACTACACAAAAACTGTTGTGATGATAGTGGAAGTAGTACCTGTTAGTTTCTAGGCAGAAGTACTTTTCCTGGAAATAATTACCTCTTGGTTATGAACAGCTGAGATAAATGTGCTGTCCAGTGATGAAATTCAAATTGCACCTCAAGAGCAGCTGGCAAGCACTGCTGATCAACTTACAGAACAAACACTGCTCTCATCAGCTGAAAGGTAAGAACAGTTCTGAATGTTTGCTTAGACATAGTGATTGACTGTGTATCTGTAGAGAAATGAGTAGGTTTTGTATAGTATAGACACCTACTGATTGCACATGCCAAAAGGAAAGTGAGGTGACTCCTCTGGTTGGGCTAAAATTACATCTGGGACTTCTTTTGCCCTTGAAGAGTTGCTGATTTTGTTTCCCTTAAGTTTACTTCTTATGTGTAATGAAACAAAAACTTTGATCAGTTTTAAATATTGATTTGTTCAGCTGAGTTCAGTGTGTGGTTGTGGCTCCTGCTCTGGTTTTAAGCTCAGTTTGTGGTGGTTGTGGCTCCTGCTCTGGTTTTAAGCTCAGTTTGTGGTGGTTGTGGCTCCTGCTCTGGTTTTAAGCTCAGTTTGTGGTGGTTGTGGCTCCTGCTCTGGTTTTAAGCTCAGTTTATGTTGTGGCTCCTGCTCTGGTTTTAAGCTGAGTTTGCAGTGGTTGTGGCTCCTGCTCTGGTTTTAAGCTGGTTTTAAGCTCAGTTTATGTTGTGGCTCCTGCTCTGGTTTGAAGCTGGTTTTAAGCTCAGTTTCTGTTGGTTTCTGCTCTGGTTTTAAGCTGGTTTTAAGCTGGTTTTAAGCTCAGTTTCTGTTGGTTTCTGCTCTGGTTTTAAGCTGGTTTTAAGCTCAGTTTCTGTTGGTTTCTGCTCTGGTTTGCTCCGTGGCAGCAGGGCCGTTCCTGCACGGCTCCTCGGCAGCTCCATCTCGTGGGCTGAATGGGCAGAGGCTGAGAGAGGAAATATTTCATGGCTTTATGTTCCCCCCTAGGTCCCCGTCAGAATATTTCATTCAAACTTGTGATACAGATGGCTCAGGATCTACCAGTGAATTAATTAAACTTGGAGATACTGCTTATTCATTTTCCAAGAGAGGGGAAGGTGAGTTTGGGTGAGAAAAAATTTTAAGACTCTTCTCTAGTTAGACTCCTAGGCTTTTTTTTTGTTTCCTTTTAAAAAGTTACTTTTTTCAGATACAGACAGTTTTAAATTCTTGTTAAAAAAACCCTAGACAACCCACAATAAGCAATACATCTTGCTGAAGTTAAAATTTCTGGAAGTAAATATTCCAGGCATTATTTTTCATGACTCCTGCACTAGCTTATTTGGATTAAGGTTTATTGTTTGAGTTCTAATTCAGTTCTACAAAGGCATTTTTTCTTGTTCAGTAGAATAGGAGAATTCTGAAGACTTTGTTTCATTTGTTGCAGTGTAACATGTATTATTTAAGACTGTAAAAAATTATTAAGTTCATTCTTAAAGAAAACTTCTTAGGAGTGTGTGCCCCTTCAAAACTTAATGGATGGCTCTAAAAGGAGTAGTGTGCAGATGACTTAAATGGAGCTCACTCTTATTTCATATTTTTATAAGAATATTCCAATTCTTCCTGTTCTTACTGATGATTCATCTCCTCAAGTAGAGGCATAAAGAAATATTGTGAATTATGAACATTTCATTGACTGGAGTTACAAATAAGAATTTAACAGACCTATTTTGAGCTTAGTATGGATTGCTGACACCAAGCAATGAGCAGACAATAAAATGTCCATCTCAACAGCTCATAGCAAGACACTTTATAGATCTTAATTTAATTTTTTTAAGCAACCACTTGTAGAATTTCAGATGCCTGTGCTCTGTCTAGCAGACAAGGACACGGAGGTAGAAGAATCTGAAAGCACAGAGGCTCTTGCAGCATTGCCCAGACAGTTCTCACAAAGTGAAAGGGGGACTGGAAATGAAAGGGAAGATGGTGAGTATTGATTCTTCTGACAGCTCATCCACCTGATTCTGATTTAGGGGTGTAGAGAACTAGGGTAGTGTGGAGGAGAGCTTTAGTTGAGAATGGAAACACTTTAGTCATGTTTTAAAATAAATTCTTTTCAGAAAAGCAATATTTTAGTCTCTCATAGTGGGCAAACTTCCATTATCTGGGGTATTTCTGCTTGGCTAGGATTTGGCTTCATCTAGGCTGGTTTTAATTTGTATTGTGGTTTGTATTCTTTTCTTTTGTGGTTCAAAACACTAAAAAGTCCTTATGGAAGATCTTCACATCCAAAATCATGTTCTCAAGGCTGAAAAACGTTACAGCACTGTCCTATGCAATCCAACAAAGGTGGCAGCTCACCTTTGCTATTGAGACACTTCCCTTTGCTATACACAATGCACAAAACGTGCTCTGTTCCCAGATAATACTGCAAATCCTTTGTGTTTGCCTCTTCAGGAGGGATGGAGGCTGTTCATGAGCCTCACCAAGGGAGTTTGGGTGTCAGTGCTACCAAACTGGGGGAGCCCATCCAGCAGGCAATTCCTCTGCTGCCCCCGTTCCAGCCCTCGGACCCAGCGTGGAGAGATCCCCACAGCTCCCACAGACTGACAGCAGCTCTGCCTTGCACAGAAGCACTGAACATTCCTGCTGTAAGGAAAAACCTGCCCTTTGATGATTTCATTTTCTTTTAGTAACCAATACTGTTTAACCTCCTAGTTTACTTGCAGAATGGGAGTAGATGGTCCCTGAAGAACACTTTTGAATGTGTCAGAGTTTATTTCAGTTCCAGGAATTTTGGATTGTGGATTCATTCTTCACTAAGTGTCCAGAGAGGAATTTAGTTTGAGGGATGTGTTTATTTTATACATATATACAGACACATCTCCACAGTCAATGCCAGAGTTTGCAGTATAGTAAACAAAATAATTATAGTGATTTTTATCTATCTATAAAATCAGCATTGATTTCCATTTGCAGATAGATCTAATGTATTATGAGCTTCCTGTCAGCACTCTCCTGTGAATTTATAGAACACATTTTGCTTTTTATTTCAGATTGAAAAGTCACTTACCCAAAAATTTCCTGATGTTTCTGATGGTCTTCCTCCATCCAGAAAAATCCCTGGTGAGAGAAAATTTTACATCCTCTAGGGTAACTCTTAAATGTTATAATATTGCATTCATTTTTCCTGGCACCACAAAAAATATTGTTTTGAATCTACTAATGCATTTTTTTTTTAATTCAGCCACAAGTTCATATTTCTATCTCTGCTTTACAGAGAAACAAAAATAGGTTACTTTTAATCTGTTCCCTCTACTGGAAAAAAGTAATCCATGTCCCCAATTCAACTCCTTTCTTAGTTAATCCTGTTAAGATGGGTCTGGACCACAGAAACCTCTTCCAGCAGATAAGTCCCATGGCTGAGCTTATTCTGAGCAGAGAAACATGGACCAAGCAAGCCAGTTTCAATTCTAAGAAAAAGCCATTAACTGCTATTGTAAAAAAGGTTTAGAAGCTATTTTTTTCAGTACTCATTTTCTCTGTTGCCTTGGAAACACTGCTTACCTTTTTTAGTTTCCATAGCATTCCCATGACACTGAACATTGAAGACTGGAGAAATTACCAAAATGAATGTCACAACTGGGTAGCCACAGTTGCTTTGTCATTCTGTTCTCTGAATAATTTGGATCCACAGGCCCTGGCTCACATCTTTTTTTGCCTTGTTGCCCACATTAACAGGCACAGTGCCATTAACTCACACTTGCCTGTCATCTGCTTCTGCAGTGGGAGAAGTGCTGGGAGGTGATGCCAAGGACAAAGTGACAAAGGTACATGTTACATCTTAATTTTTGGAATTTCAATCAGTATTTTTTGATTTCTGCCTAATTTGTCTGTTATCTTGTGGCACTTCTGGGCTTATTGCAGACCTGCTTTCAACTTTCTTTCCCCAGAATACAATCAGTGATGCAGTGTTGTCAGATTGTGATTGTGTGCAGTCTGTGAGTCATGGCAGTTCTTCATTCTTCCTGGTGTTTTTTGCTCCAAAATGTACAGAGCCAGCACCCACAGAGTTTATTTATCACAACCAACCAGTAACTGGTTATCTTGCTTTTTAATCAAAAATGTACAAAGCACAGGAGTACAGTCATGTCCTTCCTCTGAAGTGTATCAGCATTCTAAATTAGTAAGAATTTTGGGGGTTTTGGCAAATAAAACTTAGATTTACTCATTTTTAAAGATCCATTAACTGCTTATTATATTATCTCCTTATATTTTCTTGCATTGTCCTTTGCTTTTCAAAAACTGAATAATGCAAAACCCACAAACTGATCAGCACTTACCAATCTGTGCCCATAGAAATGTGTCTGTAAAGGAAGTTTCTTTCTCTGGAAACACAATTTTGCCTTCTGCAACCACAAGAGGTACTCACAGACTTTACTTGTTCCAATAGTTTAAACAGCTTTTACTTCTACATTGTCTCTGAAACTCATTTTCCATTGGTGCATTTCCCAGGATGTCCATGCCAAGCCCAGGTTCCTCCAGTTTGAATGGAGAAGTTACCAGGCAGAACTAAACCAGTGCAGCTAAATGGCACAGGAACAGGAGTGTTCTCTTTTGGCTTGCTGTGAACTGCAGCTCAGTCTGTACTAGGGGAAATTCAGCTTATTTCCACTACCTGGCATCAGTCCCAGGCTGGGGAGGTGGGATGTGGAGATACTCATGACCTTAACCTAACCCTGTTCTGGTTCCATGGCTTAGCTGTGAGCTGATCTGCCATATTTTCCTAGTCCATTTCTTTAGACATTCATTCTCCAATGCACACTATCTGCACTCAGGAGCCTGGAAATAGAGCTGTTTATATATATCTATACTCACAGGGTTTGGGATGGTTCTATTACAGCATCTCTACTCACAGGATCTATAAAACCCTCATGCACTCATTTTCCTAGGTGCCTCTGGTATCTGAGTCTTCTACATCCACCTCTTCTATATCCACCTCTTCTGAGGAAAAGCTCTCACTGTGTGCTGAACAAGTTACACAAACCCCAAGACCTGAATCTCAGCACTGGCCTAGAGCAACAAGGTAAGTTCAGATTTTTGGTACTGAACCACCCTGGAACTTTGATTTCCATGGCCAGCCAGCCCCCTCCTCCCTTTTTAAACAAGATCTCTCTTTCCTTGGCTGTGTGACAGTGAAAGAATAATTCTCACAGAAAGATTTCCTGTTTCTCCTTACATATACTCATTTTGTTAAATGTTATAGGCATTTACACATTCTGCTTTACTTAATCCTATAAAAACATGCTTAGGCAAAAAGTGAGCTGGAATTGTGTGAGATAATGCTCATTGTCAAGTTTTTAGAACAGAAATGAAATCTGTCTGTTTTCTGCTTTAGCAAATATGAAAATTCCACCCCAGGTTCAGTTGAAGATTCACTTTCCCACAGAACAGCAAAGGAGAAGGTGCCTAAGCAGCAAGAGTTCCATGAAGCATCAGAAAATCTGTCTCACAGGCTGAATGAACTAGATTTAGTAAGTGCAGTCTCTTCTTTGTTGAGCTGAGCAATGCAGCTTTAGTAATGCCAGTGGAGAGAATTAAGAATATCAGTGCAATGTGCATGAAAAGGAAATCTGCATCTCACACCTGGCTTTAGTTCATTCAGCTTTAGAACTGTCTATTGAACCTGACCCCACAGAAAAACCTCTCTCCCTTAGATGTTGAAGAGAGCTTTGGCTGAGCACACCAGAGAAGGGGAGCTGCCAGAGGAGGACAGCCTGTCCCAGCACAGTGACAGTGCCATGGGCCGTGGCCGAAGGACAGCTGGGAGAGGTGACAATCCTTATGCCACTATTGGGATGGCAACAAACAGAAAAGAAACCTGCTACACTGAATTACAGTTAGTTACTAAGTTCTGTATTGCTCATTCATTTCTATTTTTTTTTCTATTTCTCTTGTTAGTTCATTTCTTTGATCCAAACCTGACCTACAGTAACAGAATTGCAATCACATTTCTGTTTAACACTTAAAAAACCATGGCAAAAATTCACAAAGAAAAATACAAGTGAAACACAGCTGCAGTAAAAAAATGTATAGCAGGTGGGGGGAGAGACAGAATACAGCTCAGAGGATGTGGTTCTGAAATGAGGGCCTCACAATACACTTCACTGGGGTTTTTATCTCAGATTTGATACTCAGTGAATGCTCTTTCCCTGCAGACACACCACATCCAAGGTACCCAGGCAGGCCAAGGTCCCTCTCTCCAGCCTCACCCTTGTCTCAGCACCAGGAACCCAAACAGAGGGGCAGAGGAACGGGCCAGATAAAGACAATCCACAGCCACCTGCAGGAGGAAAGGGATGAAAGAACAAGAAAAGCAAAGGTAATTTTTGGATTGGACCTCATGGTAGTTCTTGCCAACAGTTATAGTAGAACCACAAAACCAGAACACTTTTGTGTAATGGGAGCATCTGCTCTCCTCTAGTAATCATATGCTATTTTATCTGTAGCTGGCTGAGGAAGAGACTTAAACCCCGAATTTTGTAAAAAAGAGTTTAAAGTGGAAGAAGCTACTTTGAACCCATGCAGCCACCAAGTTAACAAGGTGGATGGATGGAGTGATTATTTCCTCTGACAAGTCCTTTTATTTTTGTTTTCTAGCTGGTCACTAAAGCTTATGAAAATGAGCTAAGAATTTTTGAAGCGAGGGAGAAGCGAAGAATTTCCAAGCTCAGAGAAGCTGCCAAGGAAATGGTAGGTGATGCACTGGTGGGATTGCTGGTTGTGTTTTGTTTGGTTGATTTTTTTCTTTTTAAATTTGTCTAGATGGTCTGTCCAGACACTTTAGGGAACAAAACCTCCTTGACTTCCAGTGTCATAGTTAGAACACTGTGCAACTGAATCACTTCCTAATGTTAAGTGCTGCAGAAGAGCTGAGGTTATGCAATGATGAGATTTAACCTTTATTTGAACCCTGACCTGCATTTTGTAAATTCTGGCCTTCTGGAGAATCCAATGCAAGATGTCCAAGTTCTCATTCTAAAGTCTGAAAGACATTTAAGTTCTGATGGCCAAACTGTGTTCTGTCAGTGTTTCCCTTCTCATACCTGTTCTCCATCTGTTTTACATCTGCTCCTAAGGAACAAGAGTACAAAGAAAATGTCTTTCAAGAACCTCCAAAAGTGTCTCAGCGAGTGAAAGTTTATTCTAGAAAAACCACACCTCAGTATCCCAAACACAGCCAGTGGATTCCAAAACGAGGGATCATGAAGCCAAAGCAAGCAGCTCCAAGTAAGAACTCAAAACTATACTTGGTGGAAAACTGGCATCTTTTGAAAGCATGTGTTGAACTCCAAGAATAAAGGCACCAGTCCAACATATACCAGTCAGCTGTAGCATTTTCCCTTCTTCTGACCTCTGTATGTCTGGATTTTTGTTAGGGAAGATAATGCTTGACATAAATGTAAACCATCAGTGCACAATCAAATTGTGACCCATTTACCACTTCCTTAAAATCCCTTGGATTATTTTCAGGGCTTTTTTCCATTGCTGCTACTCCTGTGCTTATTCCACTACAGTCTGAACTCTCCTTTTGTTATTTTTCTGAGCATGTATCAGATTTAAGATTGGGCCTGTGGCTAGAGCAGAGCCATGTACAGGTCACTGAGCAGTTTCTGTCAGGACCCTGCCTCTGTGGTGTTAATGCTGCCACTGGTTCTGCTGAGCAAGTGATGCTCCAAGAAAGCCAAGCTGCAAATCCTAGGCCCAGTTTTGGTAAGCAGCACTGTGCATGCCTAAGGATAAGATCACCAGATAATCTCCTACATATCTGAATGTTGCTCAGCTACACTGCCTTGTTTTTATTCCAGTTTTTGAAGGCCATATTCTTGGTAAATACCCTTTTGTTTCATCTCCCCATCATCTTTTCCTGCCAGAAAGATCAAAGATGTAATGGATGGCAATGAGCTGGTTGCAAACCAGTTTGTTTTGCACCTGTTTACTTGACCTGGATCTGTCATTGCCATGGCTGTGCTGGCTTTATTTTAAGTTGCTGCATCCAGAGAGAGAGAGAAAGCAATCACTGATTAGTGATGGTCACAACCACATGAAGAAAGAAAGGGATACCTGTTTTAGCTGGATGTGATGGGGGTAGGGAAATGACATCTGAGCTATGAAATCAATTCTTCAAAGAAACAACAAAAGACTGGGATTGCTTTCTCTGCTGCTGTACTGGCAGGATGAGAGGTCCTGCTGGGCTTAGCTTGACATGGTAACAGCAGCACGGTGATTTTATACAGTGTTCCGTGTAAAATATTTCTTGACTTATGCTGACACTGTCTGGATGAATTTACAACTAAATGTATTCTCCAGGAATTTATTGCTTACCTCTTTCTTTATCTTACAGTGACAATAAGAGACAATGACCTCCTCCTGCAGCTCCTGGAGGAGTTTCCCCACCTGCACATTTCCTCCCGTACTCTGAATAAAATGTGGCATCAGCAGCTTGCACAAACTGAGCACCTCAAGGCACCCTCTGCCAGACCTAGACCCAAACTCCAGAATGAAGTGAGTGCTCTCATTCTTACCTGCTGAATGTCAGCAGAGATACCCTGACAGGGCACCTGCACACCCACAGCACAGTGTGGGAGGATGTTCTGGGAGCTTGCTTAAATAGGCATGTACAGATTTACATAAACAGGTTCAACTTTTCATCAGCCACTTGAGTCTCATGGTCCTTCTTTGACACTGGTTTCTTGAGTACTGCCTAGGGCTGTTTTAAAAGCATTTTGTAGTTTCCACTGCTAGTTCTGAATGGTCTTTTAGTTTAAAAGTGAGTTATGAGATGCAAAAGTTGATTAACTTATACAAGGTAACTCTCAACCCAAACCCCAGAACCTAGCAGAGGGGCAGTATTTAAACCTGCTACACAGAACAGCTTGTCCTGCAGCATGAGGCAAGTAATGAGCTTTTTTTAAACCTCCAGGTTGAACAAGCCTTGAAGAAACACGAGCTGCTTGCTGCAATTATTAAGAGAGATCAAGATCACAGCAAGAGACTGGTAGGTTCTTTGAACACTATTTGTTATATAATGCAGAGATTACACATGGAGCTATCTAAAATGCATATTCCCACATCATAAAAGTGGCTTTTTGTCTTATGACAACTTTAAACTTTTTGAGTAGCTGTGGTCTCAAAATGCCACATAATCTGTTTGTTGTGCAGCTCCTGGGGTCATGGGAATGGAATATTATAATTATTATTATTATTATTACACTGCAGTGTTGCTCTAAGAGGTAAAACACATTCTAAAGAAGTGCAAGGAGGAGAAAAGTGCAAATTCTAAAAAAGTGCAAGGAGGTTGTGTTGCAGCTCCCTTGACAGTGACACAACTTCACTACTCGGTGCTGATTAACGCTTTCCACCTTAACTGCAAAGCCGGGCTGGGGAGCAGGTCCTTAGTAAAGGACCCTAATTAGCACTGATTACCAAAGCTTTGCCTGCAGGGGTATCCGTGGGCAGTTTGGTGGTCTGACAGCTGCTGCTCTCCCTTTAGCAAGAAATCAAGCAGCGCATCCAGCGGCAGAAGTGGGCTCAGAACAAGGTGACCGAGAGGCGGCAGCAGGTGGCGCGGGCCAGGAAATACTACGAGGATTATCGGCTGCAGCTCCGGGCCAAGCTGCTGCGGGCCAGGACCCGCGAGGAGAGGGTGAGCACTGAGCACCGGGCCCTGCCCTGCAGGGGTGCGATTCTGTCCTGTCAGGAGCCCAGGGCTGAGGCTGACGTCGGGTAGTTCAATGCTTCAGCAGAGCACAGAGCCAGGATGCAGTGGCTGATCAGTCAAGGCCACAGATGGAATGGTTCCTGCTCTGGAAATGAGGATCCAGTGCAGGGCAAACCACTGTGAAACACGAAAGGATGATTTATGGGGCTAAGAGGAGAGAAAGGGTGAAGTATCAGTGAGGAAAAACAGGGCTGGTAACATGAGAAATTGGGGAAATGAGTTTTCAGAAACAGTAGGATTAAGAAGTTGTTCCTACAGTAACCATCCAAAGAAAACAATCTAAATCTTCAGTTAAGGGAACTGATCAAACAGGCAGCCTTGTTATTCAGTTGTGTTTGTAAAACAAAGTGGACTTTGTGACAGATATGATCTAATTAGGGCTGGACATCAGAGTGAGGGAAAGCAAAGAGAGTTGTTACAACTCTGCAAGAACAGATACACAGTTGTCACCTCTCAAAATAAAAGATTTGAAGTTTACTGCATAATCCACTGGTAAGGATTTGAGAACTGTTTCCCTGAAGCTGTGAGCTACAGCTGGTAAGTGTCCTTGTGGAGGAATGGAAAGCCTGAGTCCAGGCTGGATTTCCTGCTGCTGGAAACCTGGATGAAGGTCCTGCAGTCAGACTGCAGAGTACAGGGTGGGTTGTAAATCACAGTGCATGTTCAAAGGCCCTGGCTTGCACAGTTGGGTCATCTGACTAAACTGACATGAAACATTATTTTATCTATCAAAATTTCAGCTAAATGAGTAATACAAATCTAGCTCAGCTGTATCTGCACCACCGTTTCTAGGTACATAATTGTGCTTTTTCATGGGCTATGGCCTATCCTCATGTAAACATCATTCCATCAGGAGCTAAAGCAGCTGAGAAATGTAAATGTATACTTACAGGTTCCTGGGAAAGTTTCAGGTTTGCTTTTTCTAATTGCTGGCAGATATTTAAAAACTTATTTGAAGAAGGCTTAGAAATTCAGAAGCAAAGACTGAGGGACCTGAGAGTTTATGCTCGAGAGAAGCGCGATGAGCAACGGAGAGAGCACCAGATTGAGCTGGAGTCCCTGGAGAACTACTACAAAGATCAGGTAAAGCTTCATCTGCATCAGGCAGATCATATTTTCCACCTAGAAGTCTTTCTTTAATTAGTTCAACTCACACATGTGTTGTGTTTAGTTTTCCATGCTAGCAGAAGCTATATCTCAAGAATTCCAAGAAATCCAAACCAGAGAGAAAGCACAAGCACAAGTAAGTACTCTTCATTTTTTCCAATTGCCTTTTCTTTCTACATACTGTGGCTAATGTCAGTATTTTCTCTTCAGATGCTACAAAAATCAAAAAGCGAAGTGAGATCAAAGATGGAAAAGGAAATACAGCAACTGCAAGCAGCAATCATGCACAATGATGATGACACCTTTTTTCAAGAACTGGAGGCAGACAGGCTGAGAGCCAGACTTCAGATGGCTTCCTTCCAGTACAGCCAAAGCCACTTCTTTTGACTTGGGTAAATGGCACTGCAGTCCTCCCTGGCTATGATCAGAGTCTTTGAGAGCTGCCATAATGGGAAGATGTGTGAGGCTGTTTTTTTCTTTAGAATATATCTGTTCTGTCGTTTTGACCTGTCAGGAGTGTAGCTGCTGGGCTCTGGAATGTCCACAGCACTTTTATGATCACCAATAAAATTTCTGAACTACTTTTTACCTTCCTAGCAAGGCTGGGGTGATGTTGGGCTCTCCCCAGAGGAAGCTGGGATGAAGTCAGGGTGCTTTAGTGAAGTTTTCCTGGTGCAACACTTGGATGCTGAGGCTCCTCTGCATCTGTGCTGGGGCTGCTGCTGCTAAGCCAATCTGACACCATTAGCCAGAAATCATGGATTGGAAAGGTCACAAAGCACAAGAAGATCTTTGAAAGAACATCAGAGGTTCAGGTTTCCTGTGAAAGGCCAAGTTGGAGAATGCCTGCAATAAACCTGACATAAGTAACTGGGAATTTAAATACATCAAGCAGGGGAAGACTTCTTCCACTCCTGCTTCAGTTGTGTTCACAGGGCTGGTGTTGCTGCCTTGATAAAATACAAGGCATATAAAATACTCTTTGTATGCCACAAATGCACTGGGAAAAGGAATTTGAAACAGAAAACAATGCAAATTCTTCTAAAGCTGTACATGATCAGCTTCTGCAAGAGGTGAACCCTGGGCAGGAGCTATGGACAGCATCCCTGATCTTCCACAGCCCACACTCACAGGTGCAGCCTCATTACTCCATCTTCACACTGACAGAACCAGAACTAAAGAATGATTAAATATTTCACTAGTCAGCTTTGACCTTATTTCAGGCTGTAAGTTCTGCTTCCAGGAGAGCAGGAGCTGCCAGCAGGCACTGCAGCTCCTGTAGCATCTTGCAGAGCTATAAACAGTGCAGTGCCCAGCAGGAAATCCAGGTTTCACCAGCCAGACACTGGGGAGCTGCCAGCACAGAGGGATGAGGACTTGAACTGAGAGCAATTGCATAAAATCAAGCTGATATTAATGAAGTCCATTACTGATACAGCCTCCTCTGCCTGACAAAAGTGCAACCCTAATTCGTTTATCTTGGTAGTAGAACAGTTCTTGCTTAAAATTGCAGTGTGAGGAGTGATACAGGAATGCTGGATTTAACTGCACTGTACATACAACAGTTAAAGGTTGCCATGAGGGGGTGTCTTGATGGAACTGACAACACACAGAGCATTCACACTCACTCACTGAAAAAAGAGTTAAACAGGAGAAAAAGCCCCCAACGGCTGAAGGAGCTTCTTTTACAGATTAAACAAACCAGCCAGCTGTTACAGCATGAGACACCTCACTGCAGAAATGCAGACCTAAAAACCACCAAAACCTCTCCACAAAACCAGAAACACAGAACCCTGACCTATCCAAACCTCTTCAGGAGTTGCTGTAAGCCTGGCTAAATTGAAGCCTTTAAGGGACAATATTTATCACCTAAGTTGATCAATTTTAGCAAATCTTCACCAAATTTGCCTTTATTTCCCTCCAGGAAGATGGTGCAGCTTTGCTCAGTTTTGAGAGGAGTCTGTTCATCTGTTCACCAGTGCTGAGGTACAGCCCTTGCCAAGCCATGGCAGTACCTGAGAGGCAAAGTCAGAGCTGCTGTGTTTGTGTTTGAGCAGAACATTGAGCACCCTCCTCACTGCAGGTAACACCATAGGAAGTCACCAAGTTTCAAGTATTTTCTCCTGAAACAAAGTCGAGTTACTTAAAAATGACATTGTTACATTTAAAGATTTAATTAAGAAAAACTTAAAACTTTTAAAACCATTGATGCTGTGACAGTGCAAACAGCATACAATTTATTGCTCAACTTCTGCATGGGTACATACATTAAGTACTTAAAAACCATTTTATACAGATTTTTTTTTTTTTGTTAAAGCTCATGTAACAGCTGGGTGAAAATACAATGATACCAATGCTAAAACACTCTGTAATAAATACAATGGAAATGATAAACTAAGAACTGTCAGTTTGTGGAGGAGTAATTACACTTGTATAAACTAATTACAACTACAGACAAAGAACTGAGGATGTGCAGAGCCTGGAACCTACTACATAGTGTAAAGTACAACAAATGGCACCTGTTAACTGTGTGGTGCTGTTTAAAAAGATGCTACATTGAGCTGGAGGATGGTGCTGTGACAGAGGAGCAGAGCTTGAACTTCCATCCATGCAGCCTTTTAAACACACCAGGAGTTCAGTACACATGTAGTGTTGTGGAACAGGAATTTCAAAACAGCTTGTGTGCTCTGGACTTTAGTACAACACAAAAATTTGGTACAAATAAATCAGTTTAGGGAAACTGAACCTATGTGCAAAAAAAAAAAAAAAATTAGAATACATACTGTACAAAGCACCATTACAAAACTCTTTACACCGAGAAATTAAATCCTCTGAAACTCAACTGTGAACTGTATATTTGAAATCTACAAAAGTCACTGTTCATAATTAAACATTCATAATGAAAAGCAACAGCATAAAACCATGATGTGACATCTCTCTAAAACAACTAAAGACTGGATAAAGTAAAACCCAGTAAGAGGGACACATTGAAATAAATATTCACATTAATCATGGGGTGAAAGTCCAAGGTTAAAATGCAATATTAGGCTTAGCACCTTTTTGAGGGGAAAGTAGCTGACATGTTCTTGAAACAAAATTTTGGAAAGGAATCAACCCTTTACCACTTTCAGATAAACAAACTGGGTGATGAGGTGCTTTAGTTAAAGCTCTCAGTCTTTATGAAGGTAGAAAGGCACTCAAAATACTTGGTATATTCATCCTCATCTGTCAGCTATGGAAAGTTCAATGCAGATTTGCCTAGTTTTGCCTATAATATATTAAATTTACAATATCTGTAGCAGTTTAAAAAAATTCTCAATGCCATACAAAAATGTTTAGTAGAAAACCAGATGTACTGCTAAGGCTGCTGTGAAAATGAATGTAATTATCAGCTGATCTCAGGTCTCTGTTCTGCAGAGCTCATCTCCTCCCTCCCCAAAGGTGCTTTTGTGACAGCAAGGTGACCATAACTATGCATTCAGTAAATCCACCAGCCAAATTTCATATTTGCCATGTTCCATGCCCAGGGAGGCTGTGGCCACAGGCTGGGCAAACACAGGGGCTAAAACAAAAAAACCCAACCCCTTAAAAAATCACTTCTGTCAGTTCCATGACACTGGGGTGAGTCCTGTGAACAGCCCAGGGAAGTGTCTGTAAGAGCCCTGCAGCAGCCACTGAGCCTCAGAGCTGGCAGGGGCTGAGCAGAGCTCTGGGCAGGGCTGGAATGGCCCCACCATGGCAGCACCTGGAGTGACCAGCTCAGGGCAGGAACCTGCTGGGCTCCCCAGAGCTGCACAGGGGCAGGGTTACAGCTGCCACAGCTGCCTGGGGAGCCCAGCAGGGATGCAGAAGTAGCAGCCCTTCAACAGGAGTGCAGGAGTCCACTGGAAAGGAAAAGAAAAAGAAGAAAGGGAAAGGGAAAAGGAGAAAAGAAAGGGAAAGGAAAGGAGAAATGAAAAGGCTCTGCTGTGTTCAAACCTGGCTGTCCCAGCAAGTCTCTTGGCTTTCTGTTTCCATCCCTAAGTAGCCTCATCCTGCAGCCAGCCCAGAAAGGGAAGCAAAGTCCCTTGGAACAAACCTGCCAGCAACAGCTGTACAACAGAAATAATCAAACCAACATGTGGCTTTGGCTCACCAGATTCTCACCACAATTCTATAAAAGTAGTCCCTTGCCCACTATTCTAACACACAACATCCAGTAGTATTTACTCACTGTGGCAGTCAGACTTGGCAGAGCAAAACTGAGTTTAAGCTCCACAGAACAGACAGTAAATAGCTGGTTCACTGTGACTTACACTGCAAACATGGAACAGCTGCTTACATCCCATCCCTTCAGCATTTTCAATACCTTTGACTTTCTTCTCATTGGCAGTGAAAAAATAGTGCAGATTTGATGATTAATTGTAACCTAAGTTACAAAAACACAACACTGATTGGAAAAAAACTGCTACTTATTCCAAATATTCTCATGGCTGAGAGGAGAAGGGCACTGTCTCTGAAGCAGCCTGATTTATCCACACACCAAGAGCAGATCAGACAGATCTCAGCTGAGAATTTCCAAACTAACATCAAAGTTCAGTTCCCTCTACTGGTAGTGCATTTTATTCCCCTTTGAAGAGATCAACCCATGCTATAAATCATATATATACTTACTTCCATCCCTACAATCAATAAATTATGTGCTCTTACAACAACCTCATTTCCAAAGCACATTACACATATTTCAGTCAATACACCATTTTTCCTTAGCTGTAACTTAAACCCACGTGTCATGAGCAGCTGGACAGAGATTACAACATGTTTTACCTGATAAATCTTTAGCATCAACAAATACAGAATATGATTTGGCTGCATTCAAACAAACTTTGGTTGACTGGACAGGATGGATTCTGGAACAAACTGCTGACAGGCTTCTGCTGGCAAAGCCCATCAGTGCTTCAACAGCTGAAAAATGCAGTGTTTTAATTTAAGGTCAAAAGCAACAAAAAGTACTCTTGACAGACTTGTTAGAAAAATGCTGTTTAAAAAAAAAATCAAAACATCTACTGTTCATTAAGAAAAGGTTATTCCACATGTAAACACAAGGACTGTACCAAATAGTCTGTGTCACTCACTAGAAATTCTGCTGGAGGAATCTGACAAGTGATATAAATAGGACCCCAAAACATCATATTCGGAATTCCTGCTTGAAAAATATAAAAAAAAGCCCCTGTGGCAACATTTACCTGGAATTTACATTGCAGAATATAATGGTTTACTATAAGAAAATGCAGTTAACATGTAAGTGGCTTTCATTAAAAAGATTAATGATTCTTTCAGCCAATTTTATGCAAAGTTAGAATAATCCAAAATATTTTTTTTTCCAAAAATAGCAGGTATAGATGCTGTTCAGTATCATACATTTAAAACAGGCTGAAACGTGACTTGTACCGACTGCTGAAGTTGTGTCTTGGTATCTGAGAATAGAAATCAGGTAGGCAAATATAATAGATTACCTCTTACAAAAATAGTAGTAGTCTTTAAGTATAGAATACTGCTTAACTGTTGAAATGTAGGAAAAGTCAGCATTCTGTATGTTCAAGATATTAGTTTTTAATAGCAGCTGAATGATCCTATGGCAGGAACCACAGAACCTATTTTCTTGAAATAAAAAAATTTAAAAATTAAAAAAAAAATCCAAAAGTTGTCCTTTCCCTCCCAATGTCCTAGTGTAGAAAAGGGAAAGTTTCCTGTATTTCAAGCATTTCTTGAGTCTTGGCTGAGGGAAGGAAGGGCTTTCTGGCTGACAGGAGTATAAATAGAGTGTGGGAGAGGCTGGCAGGGTCATTCCACAGCAAAGCCACAGGTCTCCTCGATGGCCGTGAGCAGCTTCTCGTAGAGCTTCTCGTAGCTCTCGTAGGCAGGAATGTCGATCCTGTTGAAGCTGGGGGGAAGCACAAGCACAGAGGTTTCAGCTCTGCCCCACCTCACTGAGCTGCAGATGCTGCCAGCAAGGCTTCACCAAGGAGGGGAGGCCACCCAGCTCCATTAAACAAAAGCCATCTCCAGATTTCACACCTCTGCTGCTCCCTGAGGGACAGCTTTGATTATGTCATAAAAGACAAAAGAAGTAAAACTGCTCCAAATACTCTGACAGCAGATTGGTCTTTAAGCTACAGATCACAAGAGAGAACTGAGAAAGCCTTACCAGGTATGAGCTTTAGGCAAATTATTAGTGCTGGCATCAATCTGGTGTATTGTGAAGAGTCGTGGGCCTGCAGCACCTGAAAACCCAGAGCACATCTCTGTTACTGGGTGGAATAACACGAAATGCCTTTGGTGCACTGCAACAAGACAGCAACTAAAATACAAAGAGAGGCTCTGCACCAAGGCAGATGAAATCATAAACAGGCAGGGAAAAACTGCAAAGTCCCAGTGGTTGTGAGACAGACCCCTCCCTGCCCACCCAGACAGCTCTGCAGTTATTTAAAGGAAGGCAAGGAAAAAAGCACTGATCAGGAAGAATAAATCAGCTTTTTTGCACAGTGTACTGAAAAATTCCAACAGTTTTTAATTTATCTTCTCTCAGCCCTCCTATAGAACAAAACTTACACAGCTGTACCTGTCCCTGTTTTATAACAGGTCTTGAACAGTGGCTAATTCCACTGAAATCCCACAGTGTCACAATGTAAATTCCTTATAATTTTATTAAATTAATCCGACTACTAGAAATCCCTTTAATGTCTCTGCTAAAGAAAAAAGACTGCAGCACAGCCATTGTTTAGACTTGATCTGCACTGAAGATGCCACAAAGGACAGAAGCAGCTACAAATGTCCCAACCTGAGCAAAACTGGAATCCTGGTCTGAGCAGCCATTAAAAATACAATTCAGAGGGTCACTGTTTCTCATGGGGACTCTGCTGTTAAATAGGAGTCTGAGCTTGAGTTGTGTTACTGCATTTCAGTCTAAAAGAGCTGTACAACTGATGAGGGCTTGTAAAAGGTAGGAATTAAAACCTTGGCTTCTGGAACCCCTCTAAGATCTGAGCTGATCCCAACCTCCTGCCAGAGAAGGAAGTGAAGAAATGAAATAAAAGAGCCATTTGCACCTGCCTAAGAAAGTACCAGACACACAGAGAAGCTGCTGGTGATTGCAATCAGCCATTGAAATGGCTCTTTAGAGCCGCAGGGCAGCTGCAGCCCCACCTCCAGCCATGCCCGCGCTCCAGCGCAGCCCCGGGCGTTACCTTGGAGCGCCTTGAAGCCCTGCAGAGGCACCCGCGAGGAGCCGGTCACGAACTGCAGCAGCCGCGCCCTCCTCTCCTCGTCGAAGAGCTCCACAGCCTTCCAGAACCACTTGACGATGTTGCTGTCGGGGGTACAGTGTTTTAACCTGGTATTTGCCTTCCAGTCGTTAACATCGATTTTTCCCAGTCCACAAATGATGAGCTGTAAATTAAAAATGGATTTATGATATTATTTCATCACTGGTATAAAAGTGGGTTTGGAGCCAAATTATGAAGAAATTATAGTGGAAAATGGATAGATTTTGTACCAAAGGCAAATTATAACTTCTCCCTCATCTTAAACAATGCAGAAATATATCTTTCTTGTTTTTTTTAATTTTACCTCTGTACACAAACCATTTCTCACATGGTCTCAAATCAAATTAAAAAGAACCCAAACAACCATTTCAAGCTTAGACAAGAGGGCCTTGCCCTGTCAGTTAAACAGAAGCACAGATTGCACCCCTGTATAATTCACATTTGACCTCAGTATTTCTTTCAGGAGCATGGCCCAGGGTGCAGTTTGGCTGGTCCAGCTCTGCAGCCCCAAAGGAATCTTGTTCCTGTGACACCACACAAAGGACAGAGCTGACACTGACACTGAGCCTTCAGTGCTCCTGAAGGGAGATCCACAATGGATCAGGTTCAGTCCAGGGAGAATGTGATCATAATTCTGAAGACATTTTTATGACTAAGAAGAGTGGACCTTCCCCTTTCTTATTCTACAGCTGCAAAATGGTTCAGGGTTAGCAGCATGGCTGCCTCACTGCAGGGAGTGAGAATATTCAGGATAAAGGAGGAGCAATCACCACGTTCCAGCCCAGGGATCACAAGCACATGTGAATAATTCACCTGTGGCCATTTTACATGGCAACCCCCTCAACTCCACAGACTGCAATTCCATTTCAGCTTAAAGCAAGCTTGGGATCTGTGGATTTCCTTCAGAGAATATTTTTTGGATGCTGATCCTGACACTCTGTAGCACACTTATTTGTGGCAGCACCTTTCCTTCTGCTGGATTTACAGGACCAATGGAGTCTGGCAGAACTGAGCTCTGCAAAGCCCAGGTGCCTGACACCATGCAGGGCAGTGCACTAAGGGCTGACAGCCTGTTCTCCTGGCAGCATTGAATTTCACATGAGGAAACTGCCCTGGGAGAACTCTGCACCAGGACTCTGCCAGAGCAGTGACACAGCCCGAGGTCACTGCAGGTCCTCAGAAGGCTCAGAGGGGTTGGAGCTACAGGGGAGCCACTTGTGCAGTTGCTGTCAGCTGTCACCTCCAGGAACATTGCCCCAGCTCTCATGGCAGGCACCCCTGAGCTGCTCAGGCCTTGCCCTGCCCCTCATCCCAGCTCAGAGCACACCAGGACAGCCGGGACTGCCCCACATTTCACAGCTCTGAGAGCCTCATTACACCTGACACACAACAAACACTGCTGCACTGACCTCCAGCTCCTTCTCATCAAATGTCTTCAGCAGATGTTGTGGGATTACTTCATTAAATCCCTTCTGCAGCGCCAGAAACTGAGCTTCGATTCCTCGTAAAAACCGCCAGTTCACATAAAGTCTGCGAGCAAGTGCAAATTGGGTTTGTGGAGGATGTATTCAAATACAATAAAGCTGCAATTCCATTTATCCAGCCCCAAACCACGGCCCCACTGACAGGATTACAGCAGAGCACTGCACAACCCCTCAGCAAAACCCAACAGCACAACACTGACAATTACTTCAGCAGTGTAATTGTTGAAGTAAATCCAGCATTCCTGTATCACTTCTCACACAGCAATTTTAAGCAAGAACTCTTCTACTACCAAGATAAACTAATTAAGAGTTGCACTTTTGTCATGCAGAGGAGACTGTATCAGTAATGACTTCATTAACAGCTCCTCCCCAGTGTAGGAAATCGAAAAAGAGCCCTGGGAAAAGCTCCTGATGTACCTGACATATTCCTTTTTGTTCTCCTCAGTCACGGGGATGCTTTTGCCGTTGGGTTTCAGCTCATGCTGGATGATCTCCCCGTAGGCGTTGTGCTCCACACAGAACGTGTGGTCCAGGACCCCGGTGATGTCGTTCTCACTGGTCCAAAGAAAAGCAGCAAATGACTGAGGGAAAACATTCTGCAAATATATCACAGCCATGTTCTATCTGACAGAAGCACAGTTTCATTTTTCAATGGCATTTCAAAGTCCTGCCTGGATGCAGAAGGTGAACATACAGTTTTACTATATTACATTTAAAAACCTTTATCAAAGTTTCACTGTTATATTTTAATAACCTGTCACTGTTAATAATAGGTAAAATTAACAAATTAATACTAACTCCACACACCTCCCCCCTAAAATTTGAGTAGCTTGAGCATTTTAGCCTTAAAGAACCTGAATTGTGTGAGGTATTTCTTAAATCTGCCTGAGAAGGAGATCAAAATACACCTCATTCCCAAGATTATGACCATTATCTCATAACAAAGACAGCATTCTAACATCCAGAGGTACCCTCCAGAGTACATACAGTATCCAAACTAAGCTGTTATGGAGATCAGGGTCCACCAATTCCATGTCATCCAAAGTAATTGGCTTCCCAAGCAACTGCTTGTAGAAAGGCAACGTGAAGCCGCCGTCAATGTAGTGCCCATGGAACACAGCCATCCCCATGATCCTGCCCACAAAGTGGAAATAGGACAAGTGTTCCTGGAACAGAGCAGAGACAAGGCCATTCCACTGAGTGACAGCCCCACTGCCGAGCATGAGACACAACTTCAACACCCAGAAAAGAAGAAAACCCCAAGCCCAAACCCTGTGTAGAGGTTTTGGTTTGTTTTCATGCATGAGCATTTCCCTTCCAGTCCAGGAGTCTTACAAGTAACAATCAAACCACCTTTCTCCCAAAGGAATCATAAATTGACATCTGACAGAAAATCAAGAACACATTTGAGAAGTTTGATCGGTGCAAAAAAAGAAACTATCATATAATTGTACAAATTCAGTGTCCAGCAGTAGCAACTGTAAGAATTTGGCTCCTAAGTGTTGAGCCCTGTGCAGGTGTGTGTTTGAGTTCTGGTCAGAAAACCCTGATTCACAGCACTGGCACCAGCCCTACCGGGTTGACAGCGGAGTCGGGGTTGATTTGCAGCGTGTAAATGTCATCTCGGGAGTACTGGAAGAGCCCATAGTATGGATTCAGCATTTCATGGGACAGCAGGTACAGCCACTCCCTAGAAAAGAAAAGAATTTATTGGTACTCTACAGACAAATGCATTCCTACACTGAGAATCGTTTCAAAACACTCTGATTTTTTTTTAATCTTCCTATTAACATAAATGTGAGTGAAGTTATCTCTGAACATGCTGAGATATGGCTGAAATCAGAATTATTTTTACTAGCTCAGTAACCACACAACACCTGACAGCTTTCCAAGATTTTCCTTCAGGTTACTCATTTCCAAGAGTTTCTGACTGTGATTCTCCTACATCCATTACACACTAATACAAGACATTATGTATTCACTTGAATAGAAAGATGCTGGAATAAAAGCTTTTGATAGAAACCATCTTTAAGGTAATGGATATATTTAATTCAAGTTTTAATTATGTGTTCACAAATCAGTAAATAATGGTCTGACAATTGGGCATGTCACCTTTTTGTAAGGGAAAAATAACCTCAGACTATTGACAGACTGAAGTTGCCCACCAACTGCTGGTGGCAACATTTTGCTTCAAACAGCAGTGACAGTTTGCAATAAAGCATATTTTTTGGTTAAAATTGTGCCATAAAGCCAAGTATTTAGTGGCATAAACTTCACTAACCAAAGAAAAATATCTTAATTTCTATAGATACCAAAACCTCTCACATATGACAGATATTTGACATGATGTGTAATCTGCATTTTATTTTCAATAAATTAGGGGTTTTTGGATGCAGTTTTTCTTTTACAATACCACCTAGAGCTATATGGTCTTCTGACATTTAATCTGTTACAGAAATAAAACTAAATAAGAATAATACAAAAGAAGCTGGGCTGGTTGAGGATTCAAAGCCCAGGGAAGGCTGGCAGGGTTGGGTGCAGGGGAAAGACAGAGGAGCCACTGTTTACCTGGCCACACCTCCATAATCAAGGCCCTCCTCCCCACGAAATTTTATCATCAATCGTTTCCACAGGTCTTTTGGCCTCATCTTCATGACTTGCCTGTAGGATTCCTGTAAACACACAACACCTCCTTTTATTAACTGCTGTTTACAGAGCAAAAGCTGCTGCTGTGTATTGGAAGTGAAGGGAGTTTCAGACTCGACTCCAAAGGGAACACTCTTAAAGGGGACATTATTTTCCGATCTTCATCAGTTTCTCAAATCACAGATTGTTTTCACCAGATGTGATAACACTTGTCAAATAAAATGATGAGAAGAACCACCTCCCATTAAATTTGCAGAGGTGAGCAGTGATCAGAACATTGTCCCTCATTCTCACATTACTGACACAATTTTTTTATAAGTTAACTCCTTTTGTTTTCTGTAAGTGCTCCTGGTTTTTGCAGCCTGTAGAGCCAAGGGTGGAGCTTGTACTCTGGGTAAAACACTTGTGCCAGCCTCCAAGAAGCACCTTAAGAATGGAATCAGCAATGCCATCCCAGTAAATCTACAGGATTATTCCTCTGTCAGTAAGTGTTCACCAAGGAAACACAGAAAGCAAGTTGAAAGGCAGAACAAATGCAAAGGAATTAGAGAAAAAAGAAAAGTCTGGTTCTTATTTATGTCCAGTATCAGCCCAAGCTCTGCATCCACAGGACAGAGGAGGCAGGTGGGTGTGTGGGGACCCAACACACTGGACTGAACAAGAACATCATAATTCTGTAGCCTTCCCTCCCTTCTTCTTTCAGTTGCTCACAAAGTGATCTGACTCTCCAAAGGGAAGACCAACACAAATCTTTCTTGGCTGGGAAAAACTCTGACAACACAGTGGGAAGATCAAGTTTGTGGGTGGGGTAAAAATGCAACAGGGATGGGTGGGATGGGTGAAAATCCTCAAAAGGACAAACTGTTCTCCAGAAAAGGCCAATGAATTATAAATGTGTTTAGTCAAGTCAACAGAATGATTCTGCTGAATCACATCCCAAAACAGAATGCAGAGACCCCACTGTGGCCATCTCTGGCCATTCAGAAGCCCAGACAGTTGTAAAACTGGTCTGATTGTGGAGAGAGCATTCAGATCGATGATAAGAAATCCAAACTCTGAAGAGGAATCCTATTCAGTAGTAGTTTTACTTAAATTACACTGTATCAAAGATCACTAATAATAGGAGTTGAATTTTTAACATCCCCTCTAAAACACTCATCAGCTTCTCAAATACACAGAAGGAGAGAAACAGGATTGTAAGACACATGAAGTGCTCAGACTCCTCCCCCAGTCCCTGAAACAGGCTGAACATCTCCAGCCATAGAGAAAGTTTGCCTTGATTTACGTAGAGACCTCTATGTCAATACATGGCAGTGCTGGCATCCCCCTGGAATGGCTCCTCTTCACCACGGGAAAATCCCAGTTTGCACTGCAGCCTCCGAGGCTCCAGCTAAGTGAACAACTCCTTTACCCAGCTATAAACAACCTCCCTGTTAAGAAACGGGGCAAAATCTCGAGTTACCTCAAAAATCTCCTCCCTGGAGACCTCGATCCGACAGTGGCCAGCCTGGGGCTGCTGCTGGGACAGCTCCTGCCGCAGGATCTTGAGCTTCTGCACCAGGTCGCGCTTGTAGCGCGGCACCGTCAGGCACTCGGCCTCGTCCGGGAGCTGGCACAGGGACACCACCTGCTGCTGCTGCTGCTGCTGGTCCTTCAGCTGGTTCTGCCGGCTGCAAGCACACACAGCTGCCTCAGACACCCTTCAGCCAGCCCCTGCTCTCCCCTGAAACCTTCAGGCATTGTACCTGAACTGCTTTCAATGTATTGTGATTATTACTGTGATTATGCTGAAAACGTCTGGGGCCCGTAAAGAATAAATTCAGAGTGATTTTATCCTGACTAAAGACATATGGGTCTGTCTTGGCAACTATCAGGTGTTTTTAGGGCTTGTTATTTCTATTAGTGCTACTCTACAAAGCATGCAAAAGGTTCCAGCACATACAATAAGGTATTATCCATACAATTTTACTGCTGAGCTGCTGACACTGAATTTCTCAGAGACCGTTTCCATATTTCCTTTGCGTGTTTTCCCTTCCTCCATTTTAAAATTCAGGGATCTGCCAAACACTCTGCCTCTAATCTCCAGTCAATACCATAGTCTGTTTTCAATGGCTTGTCTGGAAAAGAGTAAGCTTACAAAAAGATGTTTGTACTGGCAGCTTGGCAGGGACCTTGTCCCTTGTACCTGGCCTAGTCTGGACCACAGGAATGTGGGAGTTCACATGGAACTAATTGGCACAGATAAACAAGTATTTTTACTAGCAATTCTAAGAGATTTGGGAAATCTGACTTCTTACTAGGAAAAGTAAATGGATCATGTTGCAGAGATGTTCTCTCTGTGTCGTTTCTTGTACACAGTGAGTGGATATTTTTATAGCTTTTTAGTATGGCATTCCCAAGCAACACAGGATAAAAACTGTATTTTTAAAGCCTAAGAATATCATCTCTCTATGGAGCACATGAGAATACCCTACATTTACTGGATAAATAAGAAACATCACAATTTAGAATGTTTTCCAGTGGAAGGCTAGTTCTTTTTTTTAAAATATCAAAGATCAAACAAAAAATAGATGGAACCAAACACTGTTTTAATGTATTTTATAATTTCATTTCAGAAATTAAAATTAAAATTTCTAAATTATAATAAATTTATTTTAATGTATTTTATAATTTCAATGAAATTTACATTTCAATGTCTGTTTTGAGACAAGGCCTAGTAGAAAACTCTCCTGGCCAACCAAAATTCACCTTCTGACTTTTCCACAGGGACACCCAGAAAAATACAAATCATTGTAATAATTTAGACACACACTGGCTCTGGTTCTGTGGCTCTATGTCATTTGTGCCATGTGCATGGTAACTTTCACTTGTGATTAGTTTTAAATATGAATCTCATTTAAATTGCATTTACTTCATACAGTATTAAAGCTAAATCCTTATTCTATCATCAGGAATTTCTAATTCCATAAGGAGGACTAAGTGAAAACATTCCTTGTATAGGACTACCAGAGAAGGCCATATTTATAAACTAAAGTGAGCACCCCTCCATTCCACATTTAAGGGTAAAAAGTCACAGTTCCCCAAAGCACAAAGCTAGACAGGGTCATTCTTAAAGGAAATGTAATCTCTGAAAAGAGCAGGATTTTAGCATCAAATGAAATCATTACTTTTCTCCACCCAGTGCTTCCCAAAATAAGGAAGTGCTAAGAGGAGAAAAGTAAAATGCCATTTTCCAGATTTGACTAAAAATGATCAGTGCAGTATTAGCTAAACAACCTGCAGTGCTTGAGGTCACTAAATCTCATTTCTCAGTTTGTTTTCACAGCTGAGTGACCATGCTTGATCCATACAGTGCCTTAAGGATACAACTAAATACTCTTCAGGTGCCATAACTTATCAAAATTATCACAAACTCTTGGTCAATGTCTTAGAACAGAACTGAGTACCAAGGCTGATTATTTTCATAACTTACAATGTCATAACTGGAAGAGCAAATGATTTTACTCAGCTCAACAGAAAAAGTATCACTGAGAGTAAACTTTTTCTCATGCCTTTGAACCTACAACTCTATCACACCCATCCCACACAAAGTCTAAACTTATTCCTTTGATAATTTACAAAATGACAGCCTAAGGCAAAATACTTTTTTGTTTGTTTTTTGAAGAACAAATTAGGAGGTGGGCCCAAGGTAGGGGAAACTTTCACACATCCTGTTTGGTGTAATAAAAGAATAAACACCAAAAATGATTTATCAGGCAGCAGACTTTGTGATGACACTGCTGGGTGAGTTTCTGAAATCCTTTCCTAATGAAAGACAGATGGACAAATGAAGAACTTCAGCACACTGTAGGAGAACTCTAAGTTCAAATAAATGCTAAATGGTTCTGTGATTCTGGAAATTAAAAGTCAAATTGGATTTTCCTGCTAACAAAGGTAGCTCTGTTATCTGTCCTCCACCGTCCATGTAGGGCTACTGTGCCCCTTCTGCCGTTTCAAAATAACCCACCTGAGGAGGCCACTTTGTCAAATACACACAGCTCACTGAGCTTCCTACAGCTTCAGAACTGCACTGCTGTAGCTAAGAGGGTCTGAAGTTTTTCTTGAAGTAAAATAACTGAATCTGAATCGATTTTAGGAACTTTTCTGTGTTTCAAACACGAATATGCTCCTTCACGGCTGATTTTTTTCAAGATCATTTTGTTTTCAAACCACCAACTTCAATTCAGCTAAAATGAGTAGTGATTTATTTTAAACTAAAAAAAAAAAAAAAAGGCACCCAAAGTGTCGGGATGATGGCAGCTTACTAAAGTCCTGTAACTACACATATAAAAACAATGATTTCTCTAAACAAAACACATATTTTCTGTATTTAGGCTCCTCTCCCTCTTGGGGTGTGAGGTTCAATGTATATTGGGTAGAGGCTAGACAGCTTTTGTGTAATGCATGAAAGACATGCTGTCTCCTGGATATGACTTTCCATTCCTCAGCTTTGTCTTTTCCTGCTCGTTCCCATTATTCTTTCCTTCAGCTTTTCTTCCCAATGATTCACTTCCTTTCAGGACTATTCCTCCTACTGACTCCTCACCCAGGGCTGCCTGGCTTTCCATCCAACCAACTCCTCATTGTTTCTTCCACTTAACACCTACTCAGTACTTTACAGGTGTTTCCCAAGAGTATTAAAAGGTTTTAGCAGGAGAAACAATAGAATCAAACTCACAAGTACCTCGTACAAGCCGTCTGAGAGAAAAAAAATGAGAGAAAAAAGAAATATTTGTTTGCTTTTTGGTTTCCATTTTTAGTAGAAAATCCCCAGTGTGCAATGAGTGCCTAGGGAATAAAACACGAGCCAGAATTCTTTAAAGTTCCCCCTTCTCTTTTTAAAACTGTGAGATGAAATTATGATATCAAAACACGAAGGCAGAACAAATGCGGTTTCTGTTTTATCCTTTTTGTAAAACAACTGAGTTGAATTATTGGGGCCTTATTTTGAGAACATACCAACTAGTCCTACTCTAAAACTGCAGGCAGGAGCTGAGTTATTTCTCCTTTACTCCAGGAGAATAGCTGGGCACTTGTGCACCCCTTCCTAACTCATCAGTATTTGACATCACTGGCTCACACACAACTTATTTTAAAACAAGTTCTTCATAACTGAAAATAGAATGAAGTATAAAGAAAACAAAGTGCCTCTCTTGCTGTTAGGAGAAAAAAAAAAAATCTACGGGCCAATCTTTGCAATCAGACAGCACTTGCTTCCCTCCCCCTGTGCATCACAACAGCCACATTCCTGCCTAAATGCTCCTGCAGGCTTTTTTCAAGCTCATCTTTGCCGTGAAACAGGGTAAATTGGTGATGTGGCAAAGAACCACTCCTCAAAGGCTCCCGGCACGGCAGAGCGCACCCGACCCAAAGCAGGCTCCAGACTCACTTGAGGACCAAGTGCAGGTTTGCAGAGAGCCGCGGGTCCGTGAACTGCGTCGTTCTGTTGTTATGGTCAACAAAATAAACCCTGCCCGTTGCTGTATTTCGGATCTCCCATCCAGGAGGCAGTGGACCAAGCTCTTCACAATTGATGTTGCTAAGATCCCTGTGAAAACAAATATAAAATGAAAAATACCTCAGCAATTGGCCTCCGAGCCAAACAAGCGTAAATGTAACAGAACAATTCCATGAAGTCTGAGAAAATGTATTGTCTCAGAAACCTGATCTGTTCAGCTGGAATCTCTGCTCCCAAGGTACAAGCCCACCACAGCAAAAACACACACCCCAGAACACATGCCGTGGGGAAAAAAGTTCTTATCAAATGGCCCTCATTTCACAAACTAACTTCAGCTGTTACATTAATAGAGGCTTCAAACAAAAATAAAGACCATTGCCATATTTGTCAAAATGGAATTGCAGTTCTGCACCAATTCTGACAGAAAACATTTTTTTAAAACAACATTAGTCACGTAAGAAGCTGTGAATCACACTTTAGAAACTCATACAAAACAAAACTGTATTTCTGAAGAGTTAGACTTTCCATGAAGAATTACACATGGGATGTGCATGGCACTGTCTGTTTTGCCCCAGAACCCCAGGAGCCTGTGGGAAGCAAACAGCTCTCTAACAAACGATTTCAAATCAAGCAGATGAACAATGACTCAGCTCTGCCCTGAGACACGCAGAGGTGGCTCAATAGGTTTCGAGAAAAATTCTGCTGAAATTAGGAAGATGTAAACTTGAAAACAAATGCTGGTCTCCAAAAATACACACTGGTTATTCATGGATGCAATTCACACCTCAGACCCCTCACACTGTCCAGTGCAGCTCTTCCCAAAGGTGTTCAGCTCTCCCAAAATCATGGGAGCTGAGGGAGGGAAGAGCCAAGGGACAGAATGCCTTAAAAGGTGCAGTCTGCAGGGATTCCAAAGACTCCAGGAGCCACTAATGGAAACATGAAGCTCTGGGGTGGAACTGCTGCTGCTGTTCCCCATGAACACAACACTGCTGCTGGACTGCATGACTGTGGCTATTAGCCTCAAAAACACAATATTCCTTAGAAATGACATAAATTCTATCCTCATGCAAACAATTCTTGTTCTCAGAGACACTCCTGCTGTTTGTGCTGCCACACCTCAGGGCAGTGCTGACTTAGACTGCACACAGAACTATCACACCCCAAACTTAAGGATTAGATCTTCATACTGTTTTTTTTTAGAGCCTGGTTTTGCATAATATACCAGTCACTGACTTCCTACACAACTGCAGCCTCAGCTCTGCAGGCAGTGCATCAAAGCAAGGTACAAACTTCCAACAGAAAAACAGTAACAAAATTCAATTTCAAATCTGCCAATTTCAAACCACACAAATCTCACACCACCATTCCTGGACTTTAGGAGGCAAGTGTTTACAAGAGGATTTATTATCATTTACAACAGGATTTATTAGTTATTTAAAGGACAATCAGAAGCTACTAATAATTTCCACTATCATCCTTTCCTTTCAAACACATCAGAATAATCACATGTACTTTCATGAACAGTGTCTACATGTGTATTGTGTAAATAAGGACATGGAATTTAAAATACTTAGGATTTGGTTTTTTCCAAGTGTTAAGATAATTGCAACAGGAAAAGCAGTTTGACTGTTTCAATCCAGCCCAGTTTTCACTGAAGTATCTTGATGGAACTTCTTTTGGAAGTGTTCAGATTCTACTGTTTTTTTCATTATGTTGCAGAGTACTAAAATCTGGACTTGGCTCTAATTCATATGCAAAATCTAGAATCAGTGAACTGTTCCTGTTTCCAAAACACTACTGTAATTTATTTCTTAGTTTTCCATTTTTTCATTACAATACCAACTTGAAGAACTGGGGAAGACAGACTAATTGATTTTGATGAACGACATGTTAAAATAATGTATTAAGGGCCAAGAATCAGAAATATTAGCCAGGGGCCAAGAATCAGAAATATGAGCCAGAGAAAACTTTGAGGAGAGCACTGCCTAAATGATTTTGATTTGAAATATTAAGGGTACTTCCATCATTTCTTACCTAGGTACTCTTGGATCGTGCCACGTGCTGACACCAGTTTGAGTATGCAGAAAATAGACCTGACCTTGCTGAGTTGTCCTTTGCTCTGTGAAATCAAGACAAATTAATAAATATAAGAACAAAAAAACGCAGCACGAAGACTCACAAAGACCGATTTCCTTCAACTAAGGAATGAAAATATCTTGCACATGAGAAGACACAACCTCATTTTCCCCGCTTCTTGAGAGCCCCACGAGTGACCCCCTGGATTTCCATACCATATCCCTCGGGCAGGTCGGGAGGGGTGTGCAGGTGAGTCCTGCTCATGTAGTTCCTGTGCCTCTGCGAGCGCACCCTCCTCTCGGCCAGCCGCGGATCCGCCGCCTGCCCGCAGGACGCGCCGTTGGTGCCGCCGATGGGGGTGTTCTCATCCACCAGGCAGCTCAGGGGCCTGCCCGGGCTCGAGTACTCCGATGCTGGCCTGGGGACAGCGGGACAACCTCAGTGTGGTGGCCATGAGGGTCACACAGCACACCTGTGGGGGAGCAGCTGCACCCCGGGCTCAGGGGACACCTCAGTGACCTGCCCTGCAGGACACCTCAGCTGGAGCAGGTCTGTGTTCACCAGAGGAACCAGGTCCGTGCTCACCAGGCTCAAGTACTCAGATGCTGGCCTGGGGACAGTGGGACAACCTCAGTGTGGTGGCCATGAGGGTCACACCTGGGGCAGCTGCACCCCGGGCTCTGGGGACACCTCAGCGACCTGCCCAGCAGTGTTGTATTGCATTAAATAGTTTTTTTAGTTGTTGTTTTGCAGTGGGTGATTTGAAATTTGTACTATGTTATGTCACGGAGATTGCTATTTCCCTTCTCCCATCACATGGTCTTTCCCTCATGCACCCCTCTGCTATACTCCCTGGTGGTTTGGCCCCAGGTTCTCCCTCCCCTGGCCCCTCCCCAATGTATCCCATTGGCTGCAGTCCTCTTTCCCCGCCCCCTTTCCTCGGGTATAAAGGTCCCCTGCCAGGAGGCACCGCCCCCATTTCCACTTGGGAGTCTGAGGTGTCCCTTCCCAAGCCAATAAACAGGACACTCATTCCATGTGGAGAAGAGCATTTCTCATCTTTTGCTTTGTCCATGTAAGACCGTGTGGGCCGGGGTCCATGGAGAGCTGGAGTGGACTCAAACAGCAGCCCAAGACACGGATCTTACACAGCAGGACACCTCCACTGGAGCAGGAAGCTCCTGGTCCGTGCCCACCAGAGGAACCAGGAACCTCCTCACCTCCTGTTGCCACATTTCTCTTCACAGAGAAAAGCAAGGCACAATTCTTCTCAAGAATATTTCTGGGTTTCACATTCTCTAAACCTCAGAGATAGAAAAAACAATTCTTATCTCATTTACTGCTCCTGTGTTGTTCACAAGTGGAATGCATCATGGAAGATTGTTTACCTGAAGGGAATTGATAATTGGATTCTGGTGTGAGTGTTTTGACTCATTGGCCAATTGAATCCAGGTGTGTGTGTGGGGACTGTGGGCTGACAGTCACAAGATTCTGTGCAGTTTGAGTAGAGTTGAGTGCTTGGCAGGCTCAGTTTAGATGTAATGTAATATAGTATAGAATAATATAGTGTAATCAAGTAATTAATTAGCCTTCTGATAAGATGGAGTCCTCCTCATCATTTCTCCCTGCCACAGGGGCTGTCTTGTTCCAATAACCTCCAAACTTTCTCACCTTGCCTTTGTGTGGCTGAGGAAGTGAGCAGGCCTTGTTATTCCTTCTAACTTTTAAGGAATGTTATTAGGCCAGGATGGTGAAAAAGGGCTAAGCAAGAATAAAAGTAGTTGCTCACAAGAGCAACATTGACCAGAGTGATTTTGTATCTCAATGCCGCTTTCAAAAGGATTTTAAAGGGGTTAAAGGGAGCTTTACAAGGTCACAAGAAATCCCCAACACAAATTATACATTTTGCATTTGGTTTTCTACTGTGTCTAGAGCTTAGAATGGGTATTTCCATGTACCAGAATATACAATATACCAGAAATAGGAAAACAAAGAGCTGTTCAGTCCTTTCAATCCAAAACTGCAAACATGTATCAGAGCTGACAGTGTTAACAGTCCAGATTATTTAAAATCAAATATAACCATGCAGGGATCAGAATGATATTGAGAATGGAAGAGAACATCTGCAGGCACAGACAATCTGCAGAGGATTCTGATAAAAATGCAGTGACACTGCCTGAAACACAGGCAACAGCAAGAGTGGCTTGAGGAACAGTTTCACAACACACATTCACAGTGATCAGAAAAAGTGATCACAATGATTTCCAAACACACTCTGCAGCCATCAGCTGTAACTGTGCTGGGTTACATGGTCACAGAGCAGGGTCTGACAGCTATTCATGGTCTCACTTCTTCACCCCTTAAGATGTCTGCAAAAAATAATGTCTGTATTTATAGAGCTCTACCACAGCATCTCTACAAGAAAACAAAGATGTTACAACCAGGGCAGGGAAAAAAGGAGTCAGAATGATTTTCTGAGTTAAATATTAGGCAGACTGAAGGAGAAGGATGCTGAAGAAGGAAAGCATTCAGCTTGTGCAGAGTGACTGAGCAGAGGAATGAGCAACCCAATCCCCCTGTGAGAGCCCCTTGGAAGTGCTCAATAACCCAACTCCATGCTCCCCCCAGTGCCCCAGGGAACTCCTCACCGTGTGGGTCGCTCCCACTGAGTTGTCCGTGTGATGTGGTTTAAATACTGGATCCTTCCAGAAGCTGTCCTGCGCTCCTCCCACCTGCAGGGCACACATAAGGCACGGGGTGGCATTTCCAGGAAACCAGGGCACAAAACGTTCCCAACAGAAATGCCCAGCTCAGAAGACTCACACTGCTATGAATCACATGAGCTGAGTGAGGAGACAGGAAACAACTCAAAGTTCAACTCTGAAATGGTTTAACATATTCTTCCCTTGGAACCAGGCACATCATTAACAGTATCACACCTTCGTATTCAATAATGACTTGAATGCTAATTAAATCCAAATAGCCACATAAAGGAACTTCTTGGAAACATGTTTAATAATGCATTTAACTTCTTCTGACCACTGACTCTAGCAAATGCTTTCATAGCATCTTCACGCACTGCTTGCTTTCATTAAAAAGTCAGCTTCAAATAATGTGACTTTTGAATTATCATTAAATTTGCACACTGAAATACACGAGGCTGTACAGCAAACTTTGCAGTTAACACAACTAAGTGAGCAATATTTATGTAAGGAACATTCTGAAGTGAAAATTTAGAAGCAGTTTCAAAAATGTTTTTGACTTATCTTGACTCCAAATTAAAAAAAGAATGCTGTTACAGACTAGGATGATGATTTGCATTTCAAAATTCATTCTCTGAAAACTCATTTTCTCCTGTCTTTACCTGCCAAGAATCACATTCAGAAAGTCTGTGTTTGCTCTGAAGAAGTTGCTGACAGCACCAGAACCTAAACCAGAGTATTTTCCTGTGTTTGCAAAACTGTTCTAGGTGATAATGATGTCATTAACTCTCACAGGGACAAACAATAATCCTATATCCTACTTTTGGAAGGTAAATACAGCAAGAACTTGGGCTGCATTACCTTTTCCAGTCACGTTTTCTTCCCTAAGAGGTGCATGAAGAAGAAGTGATCCATGTTTATCACCGTGGATCTACACCTCTGCATAGTGCTGCAGAAGGGCAGCCAGGCAGTGTGGTCACTTCCTTGCTACAAAACTACTGCATGCATAAGGCACTTTGCTGGCTGTGATTTAATCTGAAATATGTGTTTTCTTGGACAAGCTCTTTTTCAAAGCATTTCTTTACATATGTCACCTCCCTTTTTCCAAGTGGAGATAAGACAACAGCCAAACTATCAACTGCTCTGTGCACCCCAGCTGGCTCAGCTCCTGTTCTGAATGCAGAACTGCAGAACTCTGAGTGCAAGATTTAAAACTATTTATTTGCACACTGAATTCTCCTATCACAGAAGCCTGTTGTAGGAGCTGGATTTGTGTTTCCATCCCAGAGATGTCAGCTTACCCATCTGGTAAATCGTTATCGAATAACCGACTGCAATCCACAACTTGTCCTCCTGTGCCTATTCGGTCTCTGGACTGAAGACTGACTGTTAGGATAACAAAAGAATTATTAAAAATGTGGCATCTGAATGCAAATTGTAGTTACATTTGAAAGAGAATTGGTACAACTTGGAGGATTAAGCTGAGACAGGTTTGGGATATTTTTCCCTTCTCACAAGTCAAAGATGTTTGCAAAGGAACTCTGTTTTCATACATGGAATTCTCTACATCTTACTTCTAAAAAAAGTTAGCTGAAGGAATATGAGTGCATGTTAAGGCAGGAAAGGAAGTGAGCTGTGAAAATGCAATTAATTTTGTGTGTTGAGATGGACTGTGACACTCAACTGGTGGCACTGGGGTGCCACTTCACACATGGCTGGGATGGGGCAACAGCAGAACACTGAACAGGAAGAGCTAAAATAAGGAATTCCTCCCTGGTTTTGACTCCTTCTCACATATTTTGTGCACCCATGGGTTTGAACACACACACAGATACACAAACACAAAACCAGGCACAATGTAACTGCTAGAAGCACTTTCAGATTTGGTTTATTGGCTACTTTCTAACACCAGCAGTAAGAAGTCAAGTGCAACTCACAGGAGGCAGCCTGAAAAGCCCTTGCTTGCCCTCACCAAAACTGCTTCACTTTTAATTTTTTTTTTTACATGATTCACTGTAATGGGTATTTATGCCTGAAGCTTTTGTACTGCAATTATGAAAACAAAGATTTTTTTAGGCTGCTTTTGTTCCCAATATCACAGTTTGAAAGTGTCCAATCTGATAATTTATGACACTTGTGTTCCTGTGGGGTTGGGGTGGTTTTTTGATGTTTTGTTATGCCTTTAACAATAAAACAATTGCTTAAAAAGCTAAATACGTGCTGTGGCCCACATTTCTTGAGGTGGCATTAACATACCTCTGGACAACTGTCTTCAAGTCCTATTTATATGCAGTGAAATGATCTTAACCTGGATGCAACCAAACTTTTGTAAAGATCAGAAAGTTTAAAAAGCTGGAGCAGAACTGGCAGATTTTGCCTGAGTCCCCAAATTTTCACCAACATGTTTTGAAGCTTAGGACTCAACAGACCAACCCAGGGAGCCCTGGAGTACCTGCTGCATTCCTAATCCACAACTCTAACATTACAAAACAACTTTAGAGGGAAAGACACCTTTAAATTCAACCAAACCAGGATCTCACGTGATGCATTTATTCTGCCACAACCCCACACACTTCAAGTTCACACCACTGCAGGTAGGCAAGGTTGGGCAAGCAAAAAGAGACAGAAATTAACATAAACAAAGGCAATTACCTCCCCTTTGCCTATGTGAGGAGCAAAATCTGTGCACAGCTTCATTTTGTAATAAGTAAGGGCTTATTTTTTTCTGCACTGCCACATCAGAAATAAAGTAGTGGCATAGAAGAGCTTCAAGATTAAGATACAATTCAGATGCTCCTGGATCCATTGCTGAAAATGCCCCCTTTTCTTCCTCTCTGAAGACAACCCAGGGATTTAAGATAAAGATCCCCTTGGTCCCTGTACCAAGGCATACCCACTGTGCACTTGATTTGCAAGATTATCATCTGCTGAAGGCATCAATTACATTTTAATATTGGTTTGCAATATTGCATGGTCTCTTAATTTAAGAGAGTTTATAATTGGAAGAACTGAGAGTATATTTATAACTTATTCTGCCTTTTTTCTTATTTTTTAATCCAGATTTCTCTACCATCTAACTACTACAGTGGTATTATCTAGTTTTCTGAGCCTCATTCATCCACTCAATAAAGTTGCATTAGTGAAGAAAGATTAAAATATAAGAAGATTAATAATGACAACTTAAATAAAAAAAGACAGGAGTCTCTGGAATCTTACCAAGGATGCATTAAATTAAAACAGAACCATGACTGAGTAAACTTGACCTTTCTGCTGGTATCAACAGAAAGCAGAACACAGATTTGCTCTGGGTCTCTGCTGTAACCTGACAAGGTGCTTTCTGTAGGTTCAGTGCACAATCCAACAGCTCCTGGTGTCAGGGGCAGCCCCAGCAGCATCCCAGGAGAGCCAGAGCTGCTTTGGCTGCACCACTTCCCACAGGCACAGGGGCTAAAGGCAGCCTGGCAGTGCAGCCTGTGCCCCAGTGCTCACAGCTCTCACTGCTTCTCCCTGACCAGTTCTCTCTGAAGCCTCTTGGTCACTGCACACTGCAAGGCATTTGCCACAGGCTCCCAGACCTTTCTGCTTTGGGGAGGGGTTTATGGGTTGTTTTTTCCCCCTTTAATGAATGGCAGCACTCCCCAGCAATGCTGCCCAGGATGTGAGTTCATACTCTGGAGGGCAGCATGAGAGCACAGTCCCTGCTCTGTGCAGCTCCCAGCACACCCTGAAGCTGCTCTCCTGTGCTCCCAGCTCAGCCTCCCCTCCAAGGGCACCCCCAAACAAAGCTGCACACACAGGGATGCTCAGGGGACCAAAGCCAGCAAGCAAACCAAACCCACAGCAAAACACACCCCAGAGAAGTGACTGATTCATCCTCTGTGCAAGCTCATGTGGAAAATTTAATTGAGAACAGCCTGAAGGGTCAGCAACGCACTTACAAATCCACATTTCTACCATCATTTCACTCTTTTGTGCCACCACCCTCTGATCTTAATGCAAGCACTTGCAGATCAGACAGAGCCAGATGATTAAAGCCACACCAAGAGGTAAAGTCACAGGTGTGATTCAACAGAGGGAGGCAAACCAACACACTTATTTGCTGACTGGTATTTCAGAGGTGTTCCCTGGCTGACAGAAGTGCTGTTTGGATATAATTTCAACTAAGAATTGAACATAAAATTTCACTTTCCTTTCCCTCATGTCCAAATATTCTCATTAACATCTTGCTGTATAAATAAAGAACTTCCTTATCCTGACCAACTTTTGACTTACATGACCTATTAGAAATGCTGAGAACTGAGAAGGGACCAAACAAAGAACTGAGAATGCACCAAAAAGAGTATTTATGAAGTTTTTTTCTGGATACTTGCTTTTCAATTTGCCAGCTTCTTTTTAATTCTGAAGTTATTTAAAGTTCATTAGTTCACAGAATGACAAAGCACAGTTACTGAGGTTGTTGACAGACTTGTTAATAAGCCATGAAAACACAAAATTAATTGATCAAGTCATCCCAGACAGCAATTTCACTTGCTTATAAGCAAGATGCTTTTTAGGTTTTCCCCAAAACCTAAAGGAAGCACAACCTTGCTGGAGCTCTCAATGGCCAAGAATTTTGTAGTCAGCTTTTCACAGAGAGTTCACACTCAAACTGCCACCATTCTTTACAGTGAAATGAAAAACTTTCTATTTTTTTTTTATTATCTATGGTCTTATTTGCCCCAACATTTATTATAATATTTTGGTTTGGGGCTTTTTAGGTGGTTTGAGCATTTTGGTTTGGGTTTTTTGGGTGTTTTTTTTTTAATCTTTTTTTTGGGATTTTTTTTTTGGTTGTTGTTTTGGGTGGGGTTTTTTGTTTGTTTGTTTGTTTTTGTTGGATGGTTTTGGGTGGTTTTTTGGATTTTTTTAAAATTCTCTACTGACATAATTCTAGCCTGAGGTCCAAATGGCTCTGGCAGTAGAAAGGAGAATTCAATATAGAAAACTAACATCAAGAAGAGTTATTTCTATAGATACTTTAGAAACTAAAGATAAAAACAGAACTAGAAGATAAAAACCTTTACTCACCTACTATCTGTCCTCTAACAGTATCGTTGTCATTTGGCCCAAGCTTGCAGAGATCCAACCTCTGATCTACAAAATGAGGGCACAAAATCATACAACAAAACAAAATACCACCACAAACCACCTGGAATAGAAAAGCTTTATAAAAAGCCAGCAAAAACCCAATTAAGTGTCATTTTTCAAAAGCTTGTGCATGCAAGCTTGAGCTGAAAGAGAAGAAACCTGTCCTTAGCTTACTTACAACCAGTGTCTTTAAGGCGGTTGATGGCGTTTGAGAGAAGCCTGACACAACCCAGAAAACCAGCTCCCTGCTTTTTATGAATTTTCTTGTGATTCCACACGCTGATCGTTATTGAATCCGACTTCCCAATGTATCTGAAAAACGTGGAACAAACAGCACTGTCAGTGGCACTCACTGAACACTCTGATGATGCACCAGAAACCACCTTGGGGGAAGAGAGATCATCAACCACCTCATTAAAAATGCATCACACACTGCAATGGCAAGAGAGAGCAAGTCATCTGCAGGTAAGATGGACCCTGGACTTCAATGGGAGCATGTCTCATGGAGGAGCTCACTTGAATACAAACTGCTCTGAAAGCCTGATTATTTGGGAAGGGGGCACTCCTGGGAACTGAAATCTGTTCCAACAGCAACATGAGCAGCTGGCTCTTCACCACAGCTCTGAGCAGCCCCAAACATGCTCAGCCCCATGCCCCAGCCGAGCCTGCCCCAAGGGGACAGTGCTGTGGCATCCCAGCAGTGCCTGGGGACAGCAGGAGCAGGGACAGAGGCCCCAGTGCAGGGCAGGAGCCCAGGAATGCAGGGAGCCCCAGCAGGCAGCACTGCCAGGCCAAGGCATCCCCCAGCTGCAGCTACCCCAGCCCAGGGAGGCCGAGTCACCCTCAGTAAGGGATGGCTGGGACACCCATGACACCTTAGGGCCACACAGCCAGGCCACAGGGGCTTGGCTGGGATGTGCCACATTCCCCTCCTGCCCGGGACTCTCCCTGCAGCGTTCCCACAGAAATAAACCTGGATCTGTGTGCACTGCCTTGGGAAACCTGCACGCTGCAGGCTGCTTGACTTCTGCTTTTTTTGGTGGAAGCTTTGCTCTTCAGAAGCAATTGCTTTGCAAGCTGTTTTTGTTTTCAAAACTTTCAGAGGACGGTTTCAAAACACTCAAGATAAATCAGTGATTGCCAATACTGAATTATTACGGCTGTTTCAAGTTGAGGGAAATGAATTTGTAACTATGGCTCAGATCCCAAGAACTGCTTGTAGTTCTCTCTTCCCAGACCACAAATTCTGGCCTTAGTTTAGTTCCAAGTGCTTCTTTTTTATTTGTTTTTAAATGAAAATTGATCAACCAATATCTAAATACATCTCCCCATTGACTGTGGATTTACTGGCTTTTAAACATCTTAATATTTTCTTAAAGATAGAACTGATACTGTCAAGGTTGGCAAACCAAATAATTTAACTAACTGGCATGGCTTAAAACTACAGCTGTGATCAGGTTAACACTTCTCCCATTTTTCCTTTTTCAAAAAGCAGAACTTGTACAACTTCTTTTTCCCACCTGCAGACAGCAACTGACCCAAGAAGTAGAAGACATAAAAACCTCATGGTTAAAAGTAACCACTGCATATTTACACAAAAACAAAAACAAACCCAAACAAAAGACAAATTTCACATTAAAAAGCCCCACATTTTTTGAATAGTAAACTGATTGTATAATATAGGTCAGATTTTTGGCCTTACAACCTTGACAATGCCAATTTTGCATAAAGAAACGAGATGAAGATGGGTAATCACGTGCACAGTTGCAGTCTACAATGCTTTATGTACTTAAAATAAATTCTTATGAGAACAATTTAGGTGCACTTAAAAATAAAGACTTTTCATGACCTGTCTTGAATTTTCCAGTTTTCCTTGTTGCTTTAAAAAAGTCAAAGGTATATGGTTAAACACAATTTCATAACAGAACAGTTTGAATAATATGTAGAACAGCTGAATACACAAGACAGTTTCCAAGAATTCCTGTAATGTTTCAGGGTGAGGTTCTCAGGGTTGGGATGAACAGTCACCATTCACACCAAGCAGGTGGGAACTCCATATTCTACTATAATCTATTCTTGATTTTTGCACCCAAAAACCTGGGTTGGTTCACACTCTAAAAAGAAATATGCAAGACAAGCGGCATTTTTTCCAAATAAAAATGTCTATTTTTTTTAATAAAGGAAGAAAATAAATAGTTAAGTAACATCTAGTTGGCTTTAAAGCAAAATGTTTCATCTACATCTCTGCATCATTTCAGGCATAAAAACCCATGGTTGTATTTAGAGAGTGACAGTAGGACAAGCTGACATTTCCAATTCATTTGGTGGATAAGTTACATTTGTTTTACATCATCTGGCAATAAAGTTCCTACATAAAAGCCTGAGCTAGGAATTTTATTTCTTTATTAAAAAAGAATGTTCCAAAAAATAAAGTGTAACAAACCAAACCAGAAACAAAAAACCAGAACCCCCCCATTGTGTGGGATAACTCTCCCTTCCTCCTTGTAATTAAAGTTCTTGGAGCTTATATTTCTTTTTTTACTCTATCCTATCAGCAATATCTATTCCACAGCTTCAGGACTTCAATAGAGACAATGAGATTAGTAATAATGAAGTGGAAACATAGAAATTCAATTGCACAGACATTTTGTTGACTTTCATATTTTCTGAACCTTTACGCTTAAGACTCTGGTTAAGAACTGCATGTTCCGAAATTTTCATTTCCCTACTCTAAGCACTTCCACTTCTACGAAAAAAACCATCAAATTCATGCCTAAGTAGAAACCTCTAAATTATTTAAATAAAAATGTAGAACACGGGGACAATTGTTATTTTGTCTAGCACTGAGGAAGGTTGGGAATTGAGTGACTTTTCATCCCCATGGCATTACATACACTCTCCCTGAAGAGTTCACCTCGCTGAGAAATGTGGACTGAAGAAAGTGGAAAAATATATTCCTGAAAAAACACACCTCTTCCTGTTCACAAGCCAGACATACTCCCTCCAGAAAGAGAGAAAAATGCAGCATCACGAGGTATGAACTCAGGTTTGGAAGCCAGGAATTCCCTATTTCTAATCCATGCTGTCACACAGACTGTTTTTACGACCTGGACAAATTACTTGGTTTTTTTCTCCATTTTCCCATTTCTGACTTTTTTTCTAATATAATCTCAGTGTTCTGCTTTGAGCTACCAACTGCTTTCAGACTGGGGAGAAGAGGGTGTGAAGAGACAGAATGAAAAATAGCCCCCCAATATTTTTCTCCCATCTTCATTCACTTCCTTCCCGGCATTTCCCATCTGTGCAGCAACTGAAGCGCGATTGAGCCTCTGCGATGGTCCCCAGGACCTGCCAGGCGCTGGGGCTGGGGCAGGGACAAGGCAGGAATGGGGCTGGGATGGGGCAGGGACGGGGCTGGGATGGGGCTGGGATGGGGCAGAGACGGGGCTGGGACGGGGCAGGGACGGGGGCAGGAATGGGGCAGCGACGGGGGCAGGGACAGGCGTGGAAAGGGACTGGAAAGGGACTGGAAAGGGACTGGAAAGGGGCACAGACGTGTGGTACTCACGGGCTGCTGCAAAGGGCATCAGCTTCATCCAAAGGGCCTCAAGGCCCACGTGGAGAAAGAAAAGGAGGTGCCCAGAGCTGTTTGATGGCTCTTTAGGAGCTCATCTAGGATGGGATTGTCTAAAGCAGCACTAGGCAGAGCTGCTGCCTTCTCTCCCTGAGAAAAATCCAGGATCCTTAGCACTCACCAGACAAAATAGAGCCAGAGGATTGGGGGAGAGAAGTGATTCTGCCAGGGCACTGCAGCAGCCTGAGGATGTGAAGGCACCAGAGAGCAGCAGAAGCTGCAGTGAGGAGACTTTGGGAAGAGGAGAGGTTATTTTTGGGAGCTGGGTGAGGTTCCATTGGAGAGAGATCCCAAAGGAGAAGGGTCCATGTGTACCCTTGAGGGGCACAGACTAAAGCTGGGGCCAGGAGCAGGTTTGGTGGAGGTGATGGTACAAATCCTTTCACACAGAAAGGGGACGGGACCTGCTGTGCCTTAGGGGCAGGGGCTGCTAGGGAGGCTGGGGCAGACAGGGCAGGGCAATGTGGGAGAGGTCTGGCTACAACAGCAGGGAAGAAAGGGGAAGGAAGAGAAAAAAGGGATTTAAGTTCCTGAACGGCTGGTTTAGGTAGTTTAGTTCTGAATGCAAGAAGGCTGTAAATGTGTCAAGTCTGGTTATTCAAAAGCTCTGAGGAAAGGCCTGAACAATAGGGGAAACACAAACAAGACTGAAAATAAGGAAGGGGAATACATCCAGGGCAAGCATGGTATTTTACTGACATTAAACTACATCCAGACAGCAACTATTTGGCAATTTCTTTCTGGAAAGTCTCCCAGATTCCCCCTCTCTACACACACACCCATCCAGGCTGAAGAATCCAAGCAGCTAATTCAACCACTTCCTTTTCACACTAAGAGCTGAATTAAGAACCACATAAGGCAGAAGCCAACTCCTTTTGCACTTTAGAGCACTGCAGAAGTCCTTCTAAAAAATTCTTATACAACAGAATATCTACTTATGCTGAATCAGGTTAGCAAACCACAAAATTCTCTTGGAATTAGCAACTTAATTCAGACATTACTGCATGAATATATTACAACAGCTCCATCTGACTGTGCCACTTGCATCTGCCACCATATGGTACATGAAAAAATTATCTTAATATCTGGTGCAGATGAAAAGCTGAGACCTGCCACTGAGTAAATTATACAGTAAAAAATTACCTGACAATAACAGCCAGGCAGTGAGTTGTTGTACCAAAGAGATTTAATCTTTTACTGCTATTTTAAATAGGAAGTGGAGATAATGTGAAGATGTTTATAAATGGAAATATATTTCCCTAGAGTAAGGAATAACAGGTGACACTAAAAAAGGGGTTAAATTATTATGAAGAAAATTTGGAGAGGGAAAGGATTATTTTCTAATAAGAAGGCCTGACACCACAACAAATTTTTACTTTGGATTAGAAATACTGGATATACTTCTGTCATCAGGGAGTTCAACAGCCAGAATCAAACAAAGTCGTTTTGCCTAGAGGACAAGATTTTATATTGAAAATAATACACTAATGCAACAAAATCATTTTTTTTAAGGGAACTTCTCTGAACAAGAAGAAAACAAACCACCACCCACAAAAAATACTTCACACAGGTCTAAATTCCATTGGACAATCCAGCAAGAGATGCTTCAAATTTGCTCAAGCAAAACATTCTGCCAGAACCCCCCTTTTTCTCTCTGCTTTTTGTAATATGTTGTGGATTACAATCACAGCCTTGGAAAGACAATACAGTATCCAGATACAACCATGGCTTGCTCTATAAAACAACCTAAAAATACCTTCTCATCATCCTTCCTTAATAGTTCCAACCAGAAAGGAATTTTTTCTGAAGATTTTACAGTTTTTTTCCATTACTCTTGTTGCATATCAACATCCTCCCTCGTTTCCCACGTCCTCTGCTTCTTTTCTCCAGAAGGGAATCAAATCATCAGCCCAGGGAGCACTGAGCATCCCTGAGAGCCACTCCAGACAACTCTGCTGTCCCACAGCACTTCCAACTGGCCAGCACTGGGGCAGAACCAGTGAGCTCCCCACAGAATTCTGACCCAGAATCCACAGTGCCAGACCATGCCCACCCTCCTCCCACAGCAGAGTCCCTCCCCCAGTTGCACAAAGGTTACAGAAGGATTTGCCCTCAGCACTTCCCACCTTCCATCCCTGGAAAGCTGGGCATTAATGCTCATTAACAGAGCCACCTAGCTGAAAAACAATCCAAGTTTGTGCTTGGTTTCAGGGATTTCTCTTGAGCTCTACTCTGATCCTTCGAGAGGACATGCAAAGGCAAAGGTCTGAAACCTCCACTCTGTATAAATCAATATTTTGATAGGCTTAGTACCATTACTTAGTACCATTAAAAAACCAAGTTAATTTAGAATTCTTTCAATTGAAAAGAGAGCCATTTGCTACACATGAACTTAAAACTTGCTTTGCATCCATTTCTTTAACAAATATGAATTACAGTCTCACATGCAGAATCTAAGCTTGAAATGGGTTTGGATAATAAAACCATAATATTATTGTTTCACTAAACTGCCATGATACTTTGTTAAGCAGTGCAGAAAATGTTCTGTATCCTGCACTAACACATTATGAACAAGGACTTCACATATTTAATCTTGGATATTCAAATAAGGAGGAGATCAAGACATGACTTTAAACCAGGCCTTTCATATTCTGCTGTGAGACCCATCAAGCTGCTTTTCTTCCCTGGGAAAAAGAGGGGCAAGAAATTGTCTGTGTACCAACACCAACTTGCTGCAGGTTTGGTGATGGCCAAAGTCACATAAATATGCTCAAACAGTTTCTAATAATACAGGACAGGGAATGGAGCCATGGGGGAAAGTCAGAGATCAGAACAGGAGAATACAATGATGCAAAACAGTTCATTTCTCTTCCCTATCTTTCATCCCAAGGAAAAAGATAAAGAATAAAAGACAAGGAAAATAAAGCATGCACAGAGACCTACATAAAAATCAAAGCTTTAATAACTTACATTGTACAGAAATATTCTATACTTTGGAAAAAGAGGAAAACCATGACATATATGTGCCATACTGATTCTATTGCTCAAAAGCACCAAAAGGTGCTTAAGAGATGACAACAATAATTCAGAGTGAGAACATTTGGGACAGAAAATGACAGAAAGGAGAGAAAATTGAACAAAAGGCACACAGAAAAAGATACTGTAGCACCACAACCAACAAAAATTGCATCAAGAGAAGAGCAGTTTGAGGGAAATACTGTCAATTACTTGCTTCATTATAACATGAAAATACCACAATAAAACAACACTTTAGTCGATGTAAGCATGCTGCAGACATCAGCACCAGAAAAACAAGTGCAGTGTTTAAATTTTGAGGTAAATGAGAAAGTGGAATTTTGCTGGGTGGACTTTTCACTCAAACTAATAAACTCTGGGACACTTTCCAAGCTGTACATAGGACAGGATAAAGAACATCTGACATTGTCTGTGTAATTTAGAGGATTTCACTTCAAACCTTTGGGTATCACTGTTACCACCTACAGGTCATAATGCTGATTCCATTTGGGATCAAGTGTATTCTTCACAGTATCTGTAGAATGGCATTGGCCAGATCCATCCACCACAACCTTTGCAAAGGGATCAGGAAGTCCTACAAGGAAGAAAAGAATAAAAAGCTACCAAGTGGATCAGGATGCTTTGAAGTCCTTTATCATTGCTCACTTATTTATTTTTTCATTTGAAGATTTATTTGCCTTTTATTCATAAATAAGACCCCTACTTTATGAATGACATATTCAGCACAGGATATGGGTAAATTAGCAATTTATTTCACTGATATGGACTAAGAAAAAGTTGTGTAAATCAAACACATTGGGAAAAAAAAATCAAAACACCTTAATCTTCCTAATTTAGGTTTGAGTAAATTATCAGCATACAAAGAAGCCAAAGGCAGAGAAAACAGAGTTACATTCTTTATACATTTAAGATCAAATCACAGTTTTGGTTGATATTGAAGTAACAGAATTGCCTCTAACAGGTTATTTTTGGGAACACTGAACACCAAAACTCAGTGTAAAGATGGTGCTGAACTCCAGGTTCAGGGCTGGAAGAGCAGCAGGGGCAGAGCAGCCCACAATGATCAGCACCTCCTGCTGAACTGACCCAAGGATGGTCCCACCCCTGACTCCCCAGGTCCTGCCCTTTCCCCCACACTTCCCTTCCTCCCCTCACCACTGCTGTGAGCCAGCTGGAGGAACCAAGGTGGGGAAACCTTCATCACATCTGCTGAGGTGCAACTTGGTCCCAGCTGCATTTCAGGTGACTCAGCCAGAGCTGGTCAGGCTGCAGAGGGCTCAGGACAAGTGTCACAGAGAGCAATGGGGACAAAGGAGTGGGGCCTTGGGACACCAGTGCTGCAGCATCACACACTGCACATCTGAGGGGGTTTTTCAAACTGCTATACACACAAGAACTCGTAATCAATACAGAAATCCAGATATAAGCAATGTTTTAGAAGTATCTCAAACCACTGCCTCTTCTGTTTCTTTCCAAAGCTCAGGTCTGCTCTGCCAAATTCCTCCTGCTCCCTTCTGTAAAGGTGGGAGGTGGCAGGCAGGTGATCTGGCATGCAGGACACAGGCAATAGCATTCCTTTCTGCCTTCTTCATCTACTTCTTAGCACTTCTTTCAAAACATTATTAAAATTAATTAAAATATAATTTCAGAGTACGTCGGTGTTATGAGGTGGTTATTAATAATTCAGGAGCACATCTGTTTGCTTGACAAAAGGTTCTTGGATGAAAAACAACTTAATAAATATATGGCACTAAATTTGAAAAACATGTAATTTGCCTGAGTGGGTAAATTTGTTTCCCACTCCCATAAAACAGACAGAGTGTGTCAGTGTTTTAATTATTATTATGATTCTGTGCCGAGTGCCACCTAAGACAAAAATAGAAGCCCTGAAATAAAACATCAAAGCCTTCAGCCCTCTTACTGCAAATATCTTAATATAATGATCATATGCAAACACTGGACTACAGAACTTGTATAATATTTATTCCATCTATAAATAAATGTATAAAACTATAACAGCTACTTACGGAAAAAGTCCTTTTTCACCAAGTTTTTTGCACACAGTACTGCAAGAAGAACAGAAACACAAAATTAAGTTACTGATTGCCAACTTTAAAAAAACATTATTTTACGTGTCCAGCGCTTCAGAAAACCCTGCTTAAAATAAAACAAACTTAAATGAATTGTGCTGCTTCACCATTTATATTGTCATGTGAATTAATTCCTGAAAGCTGAGCTGGAAGTGCCAACTTTTAGCAATGCACCTGGAGGCAGATAACACTGGAAGTGAGATGGTTGTGCTTTCCTCAGGCAATAGTTTCAGTTTAATAGTTTAATGGCTTTTTTTAACCCCCCTCAACGATTTTGCCAACTGTGAGTTCACCAGAGAGGGACCTGGAGCACTCCTGGCTGGTTCACCATAATTAGTGCTGGGACACAGGCAGGGGCTCAGGCTCAGTTCTACAGCCCAGCAAAAGCTTCCTTGATCATAAAAAACAGAACATCAGGCAGCCAAGGCTTTGCTGCTATCCTGCATCCTTAACAAATAAAGGGTTTTACCTGAAAAGCATTTGGGTGGAGCACACTAACTTCTAAAGCCAGAGTTTTGATGGTTCCAAAGATATCTTTTATTTGTAGTAGCTGATAATTGTTTCAGGCTTTTTTTGTTTGTTTGTTTAAATTAAAAGGAAGGAACATTTGCATTTGTCAACTAAAAATACCCAGGGGAAAACAATCTCCTATGAGAATAAATTTAAATAAACAAATAAATAAATAAAAGGTCAAGGGGGACAAATTTCATATAAAGGTGCCAAGGTACACAAAGAAGACTTCACAAACTGCACACCACTGGTCAACTACTATGCTTATCTATAATCACAGGTTTAGTAAGCAGGAAATATTAGATTCCCCCGTGAAACATTAAAATATTTACTGATAACACAAAGGGATTCTTGGGGATTGAGCAAAAGCATGAATTCCCACAGCTACTATTAAAAAAAAAAAAAAGAGGGGGGGAGTGGGAAGAGTTATTTGGTTGGAACCTGATGCTGCAAGAGATTCCTCACTATATGATTCCCTTGGATATTTTTCCTATGAGATCGCCAATATTTATCAGTGCCAGGAAATGCAAAGACAGAAAAGTGCATCCAATAATCACATCCCACAGGCACCACTAACACCAAACACCACTGGTCAACCTTCCCCCCAGAACACCCTCCCACCCATCCTGCAAGGCTCCTGATCCCAATTCCTGCCTGAATAAAAGCAGGCAGAGGCAATCCATGAGCATGAGCACTCCCATGGAGATCCCCACAGCCAGGGCAGAGGAGCACCACCCTGGACACTCTGAACAATGCAATTCATCTTTTCCCACTTTTTACATTCATAAAGATGCTGATTTTAATGAAGCTGCTTTCCACTGGAATTCAGCACTGTAAAATCTGGCTACAGCTCTGCTCAGGTCTGAGGAGCTTTGGTCCTCCATGAAACACAAGGAGATGCACAGAACAACTCCTTCACACCCACCTATTCCACAGGAAAGGAACATTCCTCTTCTACAGGAAAGTTCCCAGGAAAATTCCAGCACAGTATTTTGATACAAGGGGCTGCTAATAACATTGTTACCCTGAAAAAGAAGTGCCTGGTTCCAGGTTGGTAGCTTCAGGGGTTTTTTAAGGATGATAAAAGTAATAAATGTAATTTCTCTCCATTCAAAGACATACTGGTAGTCCTAAAGCAGAGCTCCATTTAAGGGATTTTCACCCAATAATTTCAATCTGAACAGTCATGAGTAACAAAATACTACCAGAGAGTCAAATGTTTCAGGTATTTGATACCCAGCACTCAAGTACACATAGGAAAGAGACTGTCACATCACTGCTCCACAAATCAAATAAAGTTCTTTGGATGGTGTAATAAAAAACCCACAGTTATCAAAGGCTTCCACATGCCAAACAATCTAAAGTTTGCTCTATACAGAACTTTGAGAACAACCTAAAGGCATCTGAAAAAGAAGAGATAATAGAAAAACTGCTTTTGCTGCTTCTTAAGGTTTTATTACACCAAGAATATCCTCAGATGAGTGATAACACAAGAGACATCATCTGCCCAAGAACTGCAGTAGTTACTGCTCACCAGCCACCTTTCATCTAGTGGTGAAAAGCTTCAAGTAAAATAGATGCTTATACAGATGGCAACTTTCTAAAATATATATAATTATTGTCACAGTTTTACCCATTTCAAGTAATGGGAAGTGTCAAGTGAAGCTGAGGGCTTAAAATCCAATAGTTAAATCAAAATTCATCTACAGCACAGCCACACAGGGTGCTCCTGAAACTGTATAATGTCCAAGACACAAGAGGTTCAACTATTCTTGTGAGAGAAATTGTAATATTAACTAATTACAAACACTTCTTTTCAAAAAGAAAGCAAGCCTGCCAATGTAATTTAACTGAAGTCTCATTTTTATAAGATTGGGCACATGCAGAGCACACACACTAATAACTGCTTCCCCAACAATTAGCCTTGAGTGAACAAACTAATATTTTTGGCTCAGCTTTTCCCTCTCTAGTAACCACATTTAAGGCAAGTCAGATGTCAACCCACTCTGGCTTTGTCAGGTTAACAAAACAGGAGAGATGCTGAGAAAGCTTCCACTAACAACACCCTCTCTGCCAGGTATTTCTAGGTAAAAAAGCCCAGGTCCCAGGAGCATCAGCTCAACTCAAAGTGAAACAATCTTCTTCCACACACACAGAGCTCTCATCTATCTCAGGACTTTTTTTGGACAAAACTTTTCCCACTGGTGGGAAAAGTACCAGAGTTTATGCTCCACTTTTCTAACAGTTTCAACACTGTACTAAAACCTGTCCTGAATATTCTGATAAGCAGCTGATTAATAGTTCCTTGAGAATAAAAGCTAAGGAAGTTTGGTTTCCTATGGATTTATGGTTCATGGTTGACTGAAGGCTGTGGCTGAGGCTTTTTCCCCTGGGCATTCAGACAGAGCCTCTCCCAGCAGGCAGGATCTGCTCAGCCTTTTCCTCTGGCTCCAGGTCACTGCCAGGGTCTCCTCTTTATCCAGGCAATGATCCTCACTAAACTCACAGCACTCAATTCTCTTTGAGTCCTCTATCCTAAGCTCAACTTGAGCTAAAGATTCAAAACCCAGAAAGAACCAGAGGGAGGTTTCCTTCCCTTGATGATTCTGGACCAAACGCTCATCGTTATCAGATCGCTCATCGTTATCAGATCGACACAGCCCCACCACTCAAGGATCCTCGGGAGGCACAAGGGCACTGCAGGAGTTATTTATTATGTGGATGTGCTTGTTCTAAGGCACTTTTGGTTACAATTCTTTTGAAACAAAACGTTATTTAAACTTGCCCTGGAACTAGAATGCAAACCAGTGGCTGGATACACTGAAAAAGAACAGGGGGGTGTGTTGTACCATAAGTGCATCATCAAATGACATTAATGGCTTCTAGCACACATGTGTAGATAAAGTATTCATTACAGAATATCAGTGAGTCAATGGATTGCTATGTTTCTGTTTATTACAGACTTCCTGGGTAGTCTGCAGAAGAGAACATTAATATTCCAATACATATGTGCCAAGACAAACAGCACACCAATTTTACATAGTATACATACATTAAATATTTTTTTATCATGCTTTATGATCTCATTCTAACATATGCTACTCAGGTCTGCTCACAGAAACATGAAAAGAGCACAATGTTATAAGCTACCCAGTCTCCTTCTCTGACAGCTTTGCTACACAGGCCACAAATATTCAAAACTAGGAATTCAGTGAATCATATTTGCCAATTTCCTTTTTCTTATTTATTACTCCTGTGACTGACAAAGAATGGTTTACTGAAAAATAATTTAACTACTTTAAGTAAATGCAAAATATTTAGTATCCCCAAACCCCTGTAATCAATGTGTTAGCTATTAAAATTTACATGCAATTATAGAGGGGGTGAATAATTGGTTCAACTCACATAAAAACTGAAAGGAACTATGACTATTGAAAAGGTCAGTTTTATAGAAAGATAAATATTTCCCTCTCATTTTCTGAACTCTGTTTATTCTTTTTGCTAGTTACTGAAGAACTCTTGTTACAACTGCTGCTAACTTTGGAACCATTTTTACAGAAAAATCCAACTTTTAATGACATCCAACTTTTGTAACGGAAGGTAACCTATGTTATACATTACCATTGTTTTTTATGAGTATTTAAAAGTCTGTTTATTTCAGAATAATATCAATAACACCAGGTCTCCACAGTTAGAGGGAAGAAGAACATGAAGCCCAAGTGGAAGGGGAGCTCCAATGCAGGAAGATTGCACTGAAAACAAGTAAAAAGTGATAAAGATCTATGAGATTTCACAGAATCACCACCTCTCAGACATGAGCTCAGAGTCCTCAATGATCCATTCACCTCCAAAGGCTGGGTAACACCAGAATGAGCGCTGAGGAAGCAACATTAGAGGGAAAGAAAGTGTTCTGTGAATTCAAGGAACCCGGACATTTAAGGGCTGTGTATTCAACCCCTGTGGGTATTTCCAGCCTGTATCAAACTGTTTGTAGCCAATTTGTTCACCACATTCACCTGCAAAACAGGAACACCACTACTTTACTTCACAGGTAGGTTTTAGTGCTATGTTACCTGCATGTTTGTAGGACTGGGTTATCTGTTATTATGCACCTCTTTATTTATGACAAATTACGAGGTTTAAATGTGTTTGTACCCAGCAGCCTGAGGTACAAACACCTCAGGGCTACAGCTGTAGACAATCATTTTACAGATATATTAGTCTTAAAATCCCTATGTTAAAAATAATATTGCTTAAGCCATCTTAAATAAGTAGTTTTTAAATGTGTATATTTGAGACACACCAATACTATCAAAGAAAGATTAAGGAAGACAGGTAAGAAAATAAAACCAATCGTGAATGTCCATGGAAGTGAGCACACCCACGGCAAAGGAAACACACAATCAACACATTGAGGTCTCCACATGGCTCAGCAGAACCCCCAGCCCATGGCAAAAATCCATCCC